TTGATGGACGAGCAGCCGAGCCGCGGACTGTGCTCATTGGCGCTCGAGTCGGGCGCGCCTGGAGACCCCGCGCCCTCGTGAATAATGATTCACGAGCGACGGGGAGATGGAACGCAGCGGACTCGCCCCGACTCGTGCCCACCACCCGGTGAAGGAGACGATGCTGGATGTGGTGCGCCGGGCCGGGCGTGCCGACTCCGTTGCGCGTGCAGCGATCTCGCCCTGCTACGGCTGCTGCCCACCCACGTGCTCTGCAAGAGGTAGCGGCGCGGCCCTGCAATGCCTCGCCCACGTCACTGCTGGCAGAAGAGCCTCTTCACCAAAGGGCGTTCCAGAGAGCCCCTCGACTCTTCCACGGTGACAACAATCCTTCCGAGACCTCGAATCCCCCCTCGTGTCTCTGCTATGACAAAGGGCAATTATCCAACACGTTGCCTATTACAGCTCCTATTTAGGGCCGGTGATATTCACGACTGCGTGAGTTATTTACACTCCTATGCGGGTACGTGTGTGTGGGTACACGTGTGTGTTTGGGGGGGGGGGTACATGTGTGTGTTTGGGGGGGGGGGTACACGTGTGTGTGGGTACACGTGTGTGTTTGGGGGGGGGGTACACGTGTGTGTCTATGAAGTCTGTGTGGGGACACAAACCCTGAGAAGTTGTTTCAAACGGAGCTCCAGAGCAGTCGGAGGATCAACCCCCTCCCCTCCCCCGGCCCCTCCCCCCGTAATTAGGGCCCATTCTCATGCAAATGCGCCTGCGGCTCATGAGGCGCGTGTCGTGATTGGCGAGCGCGTGTGGAGCGCGCGGCTCTCCCGGCCGCAGCTCGCGCGCCTCCGGGGCCCATGCGGCCGCGCGAGAATCCGCATCGCTTCTCGAGCCTCTTCGCGTCTGATGGCGAGACGGGCCGAGTCTGGCGAGACGGGCCGAGTCTGGCGAGACGGGCCGAGTCTGGCGAGACGGGCCGAGTCTGGCGAGACGGGCCGAGTCTGGCGAGACGGGCCGAGCCTTCGCTCTTTGCTTGTGCTTCGGAACCACGGCCAGAGCACTCCGAGCACGCGCCTCCATTCCACTGCGGGGCTCAGAGGACTCCTCCCCACGCCGTGCGAGTCCTGGGGGTGATTTGACCATACTTCACCACTCGGTGCAGATGGAGTTCATGCTCCCCGCTGCAAACGCAGCGTCGCACAGCACGCGCGCGTGAAATGAAGGGATCGATCGATTAATCAGTCAATTTTTATTAATTAATCGACCGCAGGATGGCGATGGCATGAACCCAAGTGGATGTTTGGTTCGCGTTTGTTGGATATAAATTAAATGGTTTTGCATGCGGAGCGCATCTGCGAGATTCATCTCGGCTGCTGTAGAGGGGCCGGGGGGGAGGGGCAACGTCGCCTCTGATCGGCGCCGCGCGCTGCGACGCCAACCCGGCGACCCAAGTTGGACTCTCGCTCACGGCGAACACCACCAGGGACGCCTGAATCGAGTGAGCACCTGATGCGGTGTGTAGTAAACATCGCCACTGGGGAGACAAAGGCGGCCGGGCGCGGTGCTGGCAATCGACCTCCTCGTGTTCCGTTCCGGTCTTCATAGGTGTCTCGCTCGTCGCACTTGCCCCAACAGATTGTTGAGGCTATAGGGGGGATCTTTGTCTGGTGCACGTGCATATGTGCGCGTCTCGCTCCGCCGCCGCCGCTGTAATTCCCTCTTGGCGGTAATTGCCCATTAAGAGGCGCGTGCACCTGGCGTATGTGGCGCCCTGCCAGGAGAGCGCACTCATGGGCACCACACACAACCACCACCACACACAACCACAACTACACACAACCACAACTACACACAGCCACAAATATACACACCCACCACCACACACAACCACAACTACACACAACCACAACTACACACAACCACAAATATACACAACCACAACTACACACAACCACCACCACACACAACCACAAATATACACAACCACAACCACACACAACCACCACCACAACTACACACAACCACCACACACAACCACCACCACACACAACCACCACCACACACAACCACCACTACACACAACCACCACACACAACCACCACCACACACAACCACCACACACAACCACCACCACCACAACTACACACAACCACCACACACAACCACAACTACACAACCACCACCACACACAACCACCACTACACACAACCACCATCACACACAACCACCATCACACACAACCACAAATATACACAACCACAACCACACACAACCACCACCACACACAACCACCACCACACACAACCACTACTACACACAGCCACTACCACACACAACCACCACCACACACAACCACAAATATACACAACCACAACCACACACAACCACCACCACACACAACCAGAACTACACACAACCACCACCACACAACAACAACAACCGCCATTCGCCACTAAGTGGCGGTGACGTCACCACGACGCTTGTGCCAGGCCATGTGCACCTTGAGACCACGTGAAGTGTCGAACGCCCGCTGGCAGGAGGTCACGGGGCAGACCCAGGTGCCACGGGTCGACTGACCGAGATGACCGAGATGACTGGCTGATGCGCCACCTGTGCCCCCTACTGTACCAACTTGCTGTGCTTTAGCCACCCGGCGCTCCGCTCGTTGTTGTGAGCGTCGCTCCTCCGCCCTCCGTTGTTGTTGGAGGGCGACTGCCTCCAACTGCCCAGTAGTGTCCTTCACGAGCCTCCTCCACTGAGGCCGATCTTGACACCGCTGGTACCAGTCATCGGCAAGTCCACTCAGCTCCACGTCCTCCTGTACCACATCACTCCATCTCTTCTCTAGCCCGTGCCGCGCCCGTTTAGCCCCCTCGATCCGGCCGAACAAAAGCTGTCTAGGCATGCGGTGGCTGGGCATGCGGGCTACATGACCCAGCCAACGCAGCCTTGCCTGCCGGAGGAGCTCACTGATGGGACTTTGCCCAGATCTTTCAAGGACTTGCGAGCTCCTCACACAATCCAGCCTGGTTAAACCCAGGATGGATCGTAGGCAGGCCAGCCTAAATGTTTCCAACCGGCGAAGATGCTCCACTAGGGGGGTCCACGTTTCGCAAGCGTAGAGAAGGGAGGGAATGACCGTGGCCGAGAAGACCTGAAGCTTCGTGCGGAGCGACAGACCAGGTAGCTTCCACACAGCGTTACTGCAACCGATGAAAAGATATTGCCGCTCGACTGATTCTGAGTGAGACCTCTGCTGTCAAACCGGAGCCGGTCATGAGCACACTGCCCAGGTATGGGAAACTCTCCACTCTCTCCACAACTGCCCCATCACCGATTGGGAGTCGTGGTGGCGGAGTCCCGATGGTACAAAATACCCAGGCAGGTGCTTAGTTTTGATGGGGCTGATGGTAAGGCCCCACCTTTTAGTGGCACACTCCAGTTTCAGCAGCAGCGCCTCCAACTCCTCCTCTGAGTGAGTGGCAATTACCAGATCATCGGCATACATCACATGTTTAACCAATAGGGAGCCATCCCTTGACTGCACCCGGGCATCGATCAGCCTCCCATTGTATCTGTACCAGATGTAAATTCCTCTGGTACAGTCATCAAAGGCTTCACGAACTACGTGATCGAAATAGATGTTAAATAATGTGGGAGCCAGAGGACATCCCTGTCGCACCCCAAGGTGTACAGGGAATGGCTCCGACTCCCAGCCACGTAGTTTTACCCGGGCCCGCTCACCATCATGAAGGTCCTTAATGATCGTGATCAGAGGGTCAGGGACTCCAAAAGCACGAAGAACAACCCAGAGCCCTAGGCCTACTGATGGTATCATAGTCCTTGACCAGGTCAATAAAGCAGAGATGTAGGTCTTGTTGGAATTCCCTACACCTCTGCTGTAGCAGACGGACAGAAAATATGGCATCTGTGCAGGACCGCCCTTTCCTGAAACCGCATTGGGGCTCCGCAAGCCTCTCCTCAGCGTGCCTGGCAAGGCGATGTTGAATAATCCTTTCCAGGACCTTTCCCGGCACACTGAGGAGTGAGATGCTCCTGTAGTTGTTACAGTCTGTGCGGTCCCCCTTCTTAAAGAGGGGGACCACAAGGGGAAAAACACCACCACCACCACCATGAACATCACCTCCATCATCATCATCATCACCATCGTCCTCGCCACCAAACCGAGCCACACGCAGGGCAGCAGAAGCCACGAGTTTATTTGGTAAAACCTCCCGTGGACTGGGGACTCGTACAAATGGTCACTGGGGGGCCGCCTCGCGCCCCACACAAACGGCCCACGCGCGTCTCCGGGCCACGCGCGTCCCCGCAGCGGCTCGAGGCGCCGCGGCCAATCTCCGGGCTCGACCTCTGGATCGTGAGACGCACGCCCGCATGTTGCTTTAAAATACAGGAGAGAAAAAAGTTCCTCCTTATAATCCAGAGGATCGGGTAACTCTATCCCCAGTGGCGTAGCCGTCAGGCACGCAGGTGGTGCGACTGCACCAGGACCCACGGGTGAGAGGGGCTCAGGCGCCGAGCTGCGGAGAGGGGAGAACGGAACAGGGGGCCCCCCTTCCATTCCTTACACCAGGGCCGACGATGCCAACAATCGCGCGACGCCGCTGCACCGCGCCGCTGCACCACGCCGCTGCACCGCGCCGCTGCACCGCGCCGCTGCACCGCGCCGCTGCACCGCGCCGCTGCACCGCGCCGCACGGCGAGGCGGGGACGCGGACGCGCGGGGAGAACGCAGCAACCGGCCAACTCCATTCTGACGACCCTGATGCGACAACTCGCGTTACAAACTCCACCGAGCCAGCAGCGCGCCGCTCCAGATAAACTATGATGGGATGCCAAACTCGGAAGGCCATCCTTTCTCGACGTCACCCGGCGCGAGCTCCCCACGCGGGCTGGCAGGAGCCCCCCCACCCCCCCCCCACCCGGCTTGGTGGGCGCTCGCTCACAGCCACGCAAACTTCAACAAATAAACCCTTTTCAGGATATTAAATACAAATCAGTGCCGCGTGGGGATTCCCCGGAGCGTGGCTCGAGCGGGCTCGGCGGTCGCGCCGCCAACCCCCCCAGCACCTCCGGTCTCTCCGCGGCGCCAGCGGCGCCAGCGGAGCCGCGAGCGACGGTCACTCCGACATGCAGCCACTCTCGCTCTCGTCCAGCAGCGCCGGCCTGTCCCTCGCGCTCCTGCCGAGGAGGACGGCGCCGCCGTTGTCGAGCGTGCCCGCGGGGGGGAAGTGTTTGCGGTCGCCCTCCAGACCGCTGGCGCTGCCGTGGTTTGCGAAGAAGTCTCCTCCGACCCCTTCCTCGCCCAGCCCGGGCGCCGGTTCCTCCTCCTCCTCCTCGCCATTGCCGATTTCCTCGCCCTTGACGACGAACGCCGCAAAGTCCTCGCCGGCGCCGACTGGCGCGCCCCCCCCCGCGCCCCCCCTCGCATACGGGCGCCAACCCCGTTCGTCGGCGCGGGCGCCACACGGTGACTGCGCCGCCGCCAGCGCCGCCGCCTCCCGGCACCGCTCCGGCACGCCAGGGGGGGGACGGTGGTGCGGCGGCTGCTGCGCGCGTGAGCGCAGGTGGCGGGCGCGCAGGCGCTGCTCGCGGAAGAAGGCCGTGACGGTGGCGCGCGGCAGCCCCAGCTGCGCGGCCAGCGTGTGCACGGCCTCCGTGTCCGGGTAGGGCCCCACGTCCTGCACGAAGCTCTGCAGGATCGCCAGCGCCTCGCCCGCGATCCCCGTCGCCGCCGCCGCCTCCCCGGGCTCGGCGTCCGGGCGAGCCTCCTCGCTCGGGGGGGCGGCCGCGGTGGCGGAGGTCGGCAGGGACGACGATGCCGACGACGAGGACGAGGAGGAGCACGAGGAGGCGGGAGGCAGGGAGGTCGGCGAAGAGGAGGAAGAGTCGAGGCCGGCCGTCGCTGGTTTCGAGGACAGAACCTGGTTGACGGCCTGCTGCTGGGGAGACACGCGCCCCCATGCGATGCCACACGCGGTGCCACGTGGAGGCAGTTGCCGCCCCCTCCCGTACATGTTCCCGATGTGCATCGCAGACCATTCTGAAGAGTTTCCACGAGTGTGGCGTTGTAAATAATTAATTTGCGATATGCACGTTTCATTGTAAATTAATGGAACGTTGTAATTTGAGTGGTGAGGAGCTGCCACATTGATGTAATGGTACCACAGCACTGGAGCGGCAACCCGGAGGTCGCCAGTTCGATTCCATCTCCTGGAGCGGCAGCTGAAACAATGTGGCGAGTTTCCTCAATCCGACCACCCGCCTCCAGCAGCCAGTAGTGTACACGAACACTCCACCACCACCACCACTGTTAAGGCCTTGTGCGGTGCGGTAAAGTGTGGGTACGGCCACTTCTTGCAACAGGTCTGGTCAGCGTGGAAGAGAAGACCAAGGACCCTGCAGAGGGGATTTCGAGAGCTCCCTCGAGTGGAGGCCCTTCCGCCAGCAGTGGAGTGAGCCCTTGCAGGCCTGCGCCTTTACCCTTTAACGATCTTAAATTATTATCTGTAAATCGTACTTTCATTAAGGCGCCACCGCGGCCAATCATGCCAATGCCGAATAATGCCAAATCACTCAACTGAGATCCCACGTGACAGCAGCAACCTCAGCCTTGGCAGGATCCTCCTGGGGATGCTTTCCCGGCCACGTCACAAACGAACTCCACGCGGTTGCCCCGACGTTCGCGAGCGCCCACCTGGATGGAGGCGTCGAGCGAGACGGAGGGGCCCATCTGGGCGCCGCCGCCGCCGCCAGCGCCGCACGGCTGGCTCTGCTGCACGGGCTGGCACGCGTGCCGCAGGTGCAGGTGGTTGGCGGGGAGCCCCGCCTGCTGCTGGTGGTGGTGGTGCTGGAGGTGCTGCTGGTGGTGCAGGTGCAGCGGCGGGTGGTGGTGGTGGTGGTGGTGCGGGTGGAGGTGGGGGTGCGGCTGGTGGTGCGGCGGCGCCGGCACCCCCATCTCCTCCTGGTAAGCGGCGTCCCGCTCGGCGCGAGGCAGTGCCAGGAAGCGCTGGATGGTGCCCAGGTTCTCCCAGAGCGTCCGGTTCTCCAGCGTCGGGGTCTCCTTCCAGCGCAGCAGCTCGCACAGCCAGCCCTGATGCACACGCGGCACACGGACGAGGGAGCGGGCGGGTGGGCGAGCGAGCGGATGGTTGGTTGAACGAGTGCATGAGCAAGCGAATGAGCGAGCGGTTTACTGGGCGAGTAGTGTAAGTGCGAGAGCTCAGTTCACGATTAGGATCACAGCCGGTGCCGAGTAGGGCCACAGTTGTGGGGTCATTCGTCTCCACGGCCGCCAGCGAGTGGCAGAAGAGGCCTCGGCCCTGGGGAACGAAGCGTTCTCCTCTCACCGGCGGCACCGCAGGCGTCACGCAGACGTCACGTGTGGCGCTTAGCTGAGGGAGGGGCCTCGACGCTCACCGGCTGCCCCCCCCAACTCCCCCAATGTCCCAGCATAAACGAGTTTTGTTCCGCAGTGGTACCCCCCACACTGCGATCCCCGCTCTCTCTCTCTCTCAGCTGCTCCCGGCTCGCACTGCTGACCCCGAGATACAAATTAAACCGGCCCCTCGTGGGAGACGCAGCAGAACCCATGATCCCCGTATGCTGACATTTCGGCTTGGGTATTAACCTTTACACTAAATAGGATTAAACACCGATACAATAAATGCGTACGAAATAACCGTAAACAACAACAACACAACGCAACGTGCGCGTCGCTTGGGGGCCCATCGGATAGGCGATGACATCCGAGATGTGTCCAGACGCTCGATCCAAATCACAGCCTCGCACCGACCCATCATCCGCCCCGGGTCGATAAAGCCAGGACCGCCGTGTTGTACATCAGCGGTGATTCGTGACAACAAATAGGCACACCTCGGCCTTTATTTTCATAAATGACCACAGCACTGTGTTCATGAGCATTCATATTCCCGGCCACTTCACTTGTGTTCGTATCCACAGTGGTTGGCCCTACGGAGATACTCGCCACTGCCATAGGAACGTGGCATTTCCACCACTAGCTCAGGGCTGCCAGAGGTGACCACCGCGCACAGCGGGGAGAATACCCAGCGGCTTCGTCCGGCTTTTCCCGGCGTGGCCGAGAGCGACGAGCAAGCAAGCGGCAGCCAGGGGAGGAGGGGAGGCAGCCCAGAGGACGCCCACCGCAGAGCGCGCTGCCCGTGGCTGCTGCTGCTGCTACTGCTGCTGCTACTGCTGCTGCTACTGCTGCTGCTACTGCTGCTGCTACTGCTGCTGCTGCGACTGATGGCGGCGAGGACGGCGGTGAGGATGGCGGTGAGGATGGCGGTGAGGATGGCGTCTGCCTCACCTGGCTCTTCATGACGGCCACCTTGGCGAAGAGCGCCTGGGAGACCTTGGCACGCTTCATCTCCTGCTGGATCTCGTCGTAGATGGCGGCGGTCACGGCCCCCCCGGCGCCACCGGCGCCGCCGCAGCCACCGCCGCCCTCCTCCGCCTTCAGCGGCGGCTCCGGGGCTCGCGCCTGCGACACGAGACCACGACCGCGACGGAGATCACGAGACGGAATAAACCAGAAACTATACCAGCCAGTGGGACTTCATCTCATCGCTGGTGAAGTGAATTGTCGCGTGCCCAGCGCCTACCGCTCGAGCGTGTTGCTCATCGGTCCACACGCCCCTCGTGTACGCGTCTATCTGCACATCCACGCGCGTTTTTATCCACGCGCGCGTGAATCCGTCCGCGTGTGCGTGCGCCGCCCGCGTGCCCCGCCGCCCGCTGCTCGCCTGCGGAGAGTAGGCCCGTCCCTGCCACGCGGCGGCCGCGGCCGAGGCGTAGGCCGGCGGCGGCGGCGGCGCCGTCAGGGTCACGGCGCCGCCCCCGCAGGCCCCCCCGGCGGCGCCGGCGCGCTCGCGCTCGCGCAGGTAGAGCAGGTCGCGGTCCGCCTCGCCCAGGTCCAGGAAGCCCTGCATGGCGCGCAGGTTCACCAGCAGCGACTGCGACGCGGTGCCCGGCTCCTCCTCCTTGCGCAGGATCTCCGACAGCAGGCCCTGGCGCGGCGGGGAGGGAGGCAGGGGAGCGGGGACGGGCGCCGCCACCGGCGGCAAACCGTCGACCCGGCAACGAGACGCCGCGGGTGAGGGGAAGGAGTTCCAGGCGCACGACGCTTGCACGGACTCCTCGGCAACTCTCGAACGTTCCCGTGCTCCGATGCGGTCGAACCCAAACGGCGCCACTCGGCGTGTGCGGCACAATGGGCGCAGTCTGCCAGTAGGGGGCAATGTATACTTAGAGCCATCCGTCAATCCACCGCTAGATGAGGGCCTACACGCAGCTCAGGCTGTTGCGGTTATTTGACCATACTTCACCACGCTGGTCAGCGCGGGTTAGGCGCGGGAGCGCAGCGTAGATGTGGGAGCATCGAGGTGCGGCACGATGGATTTCTGCCGCACCCCCCGAGCAATGGCCCGACGTGGGAATACGCAAGGCCCTGGCCGACGACACGAGCGCGATCCTCGCCCACGCGCCCCGCGCATGCGAAACCCCGGGCCGCTCGCGAACGGGCGCGGCCGCCACCCCCGGCCACCCTCACCTGGGTGCGGTTGAAGGCGACGCGCGCGAACACGGCCTGCGACACGCTGGCGCGCTTCAGCTCCTCGCGCACGCGACGGTAGATGTCGGGCCGCACGTCCGTGCCGGGCTCCTGCTTCACGGCGAGGCCCTCGGCGAGCTGCGGGTGCGGCGGCGCCGTCACCTGGCCCACGAACGCCTCGCCGGGAGGTCGCGACCCCCGCTCGCCGGCTATCGCCACCGCCGCCCCGACCATCGCCTGCTGCTGCTGCTGCTGCTGCTGGCCCACGAACCGCGGCGTGCCGAACTGGTGCGCCGTGCCGAACCGCGCCGGCGAGCCGCCCGTGGGCGCCGGCGGCAGCGGGAAGGTGGCGGTGGTGGCCGGGAGTTGCGGGACCGGAGCGGCCGCCTCCGGCTCCGGTAGCCGACTGGGTGCGTGGGTGCCCTGGCTGGGGCCCTTGGCCTCGTCCGGCCCGGGGAGGCAAGGCTCGCTGTCCGAGGGCGCTGTTGGGGGGTGGGGGGGTGGGGGCAGTGGGGGGGGGGGGCAAGGAGTGGACGCTCGGCTTTATAGATACACACACACGCACACGCAGTATATAGATACACACACACACAGTATATAGATACGCACACAGTTTTTAGATACACACACGTGCACTGCCTGCACTCTCGGTCGACGCGCAGGCGCTCACCTTTGAGCGCCTGGCGCTGCTTGTACCACTGGCCAAACTCGTAGCACTTGGTGCTGGAGATGCTGGCGTAGTAGGTACCGTTAATGATGGACGAGATCATGCTCTGCGGCACACGGAGGCGGCACACGGAGGCGGCACACGGAGGCAACGCCATGAGTGAGCAGGGGGGGGAAGAGAAGGCGACAGTCGCCGTCATTCGCCACCAAACAGCACGGCGCTTGTGCCGTGCGAGGTACAATGTCGTGCCTCGTGAAGTCTGTGTGAAGCTCACTGGCAGGAGGGACACACCCAGATGTTACGGGTCAAGTGACCGAGACGACTGGCAGATGCACCACCACCTGTGCGCCCTACCCGCGCCACCTCGCTGCGTTTTAGCCGTCCGGCGCGCTCCTCATTGTTGCGAGCGTCGCTCCTCTGCCCTCCGTTGTTGCTGGAGGTTGACTGCCTCCATCTGCTCAGTATATTCAAGTGCACATAGCCTGGCACTGCCCGGCAGCATTTTTCATGAGCCTCCTCCACAGAGGCCGATATTAACAATGCTCTCTATCATTGTCCCACATCAGCCTACCCCTTCTCTAGGCCACGCCCATTTCGCCCCCTCCATCTGGCCAAACAAATACGCAGATAGCACATTCCCCTAGACGGCCACACAGATTCGCAGGATTCAGATATCACTCGGAATGGTCGTTGACCTCGGTTGGGAATCAAACTCAGGTCGCCGGGTTCGTGTCACGTTCTGCTAACCACTGTGCCACCGCTCCCCACATCTCCCCCTCCCCGCGCACCAACGCACACAGAAACGCAACGTTGCACAGACCACGGAGACACAAGGACACGGAGACGCAGGGACTCAAGGACGCACACGGCACAGACACTGATGGCACGAGCTCATTCTTGCCCGTTGCCCTACCCCCAGCGGTCCGTGCCATTGACATTCCCACCGAAGTTCAAGTCCAGGCGCAAGACCTACGAGCGATTGCCTCGATCTACGAACAAAACGCGGCCAATGTTCCTGCACGGCATCTGTGCACTCGCCTAGCATCTCAATGCCGTAGAAATCCGCATTGCAACTGCGATTGGAAGAGCCTCGCGTTCGACAAGGCGAGGAGGAGGCTGCTCGCTCCGCTCCCCCTCGACTCCCCATCAGGGCGGGCTCGGAGCCAGCAAGCAGCAAGACTGAATAATTCGCAGTGAAGGCTGCACACCTCCGGCGCCAGGTGCAGTGCGCGGCAGCTAATTAAGGACAGAATTCTCCGTTCCGCGTTCCTAGCGCACACCTGGCGTGGGGAGTCACAAATCCCGGGGCAAATAAATCCACGCGGCCTGCGAGCGGCGGTCGCCTGCGGACGGAGTTGGCCCCCGCCCCCCCTCGCCCCTCCCCCCCCCCGCCCCTCCCCGGGTATCTATGTGAGTCTATGGGTCTCTGTGTGAGTCTATGGGTCTCTGTGTGAGTCTATGGGTCTCTGTGTAAGTCTATGGGTCTCTATGTGAGTCTATGGGTCTCTATGTGAGTCTATGGGTCTCTATGTGAGTATGGGTCTCTGTGTGAGTCTATGGGTCTCTGTGTGAGTCTATGGGTCTCTGTGTGAGTCTATGGGTCTCTGTGTGAGTCTATGGGTCTCTGTGTGCGTCTATGGGTCTCTATGTGAGTCTATGGGTCTCTACGTGAATATGGGTCTCTGTGTGAGTCTATGGGTCTCTGTGTGAGTATATGGGTCTCTGTGTGAGTATATGGGTCTCTGTGTGAGTATATGGGTCTCTATGTGAGTCTATGGGTCTCTATGTGAGTCTATGGGTCTCTGTGTGAGTCTATGGGTCTCTACGTGAATATGGGTCTCTGTGTGAGTCTATGGGTCTCTGTGTGAGTCTATGGGTCTCTGTGTGAGTCTATGGGTCTCTGTGTGAGTATGGGTCTCTATGTGAGTCTATGGGTCTCTGTGCTAGAGGAGGCCCCACCCCGTGGGGCGCTGGCAGCTTCCCGACAGCCAGAGGAGGCGGATCCTCATTAACGGGCCTCAGGGGCCCCCCTTGGATACCCCCCCCCCCCCCCCCATCTTAAGGATAGCGCGCTCAGTCGCTTCTGTCACTGCGTGGGTCTCTTTAAACCCGATTGATGCGCATAATATTTTTTTGCATCATTGTTGTAAAACGCTCAGGTGTGCGTGTGCGCTGTGTGGTTGCCCACTCACAGTGGGAGCGCTAGTGTCACGGTTAGCGCGCTGCGCTACCAACCCGGCGACCCGGTTTCCATTCCCGCTCACGGCCAGCAACAATGACGACTACGTGAACTAGTCCTGGGCCTCCACCGAGTCGACTCGGCATTAAAAATGAGTACATGGTGCGCTGTTTAAACCTCAGCACCGGGGAGACAGTCGGTCAAGCGTAGAGTAGGCCACCCATCCCCTCGTGTGCCGTGCCAGCCTTCATAGGAGCTGCTCGCCTACAGCACTTGCCCCAACAGTCTACTAATGCTATACGGGGGATCTTTATCTTTTCCCACTCACGATATCTGTGAGCTCTCTTTGACCCCGAGTAAGAAAGAGGTTCCCCAGCCCTGGAATATTTCAAGTGGCTCAGCGGTCGAGCGAGCGGCTCGCAATCGCAAGGTTGCGAGTTCAATCCCTGGTTGGGGGTTGACTTCTGGCTTGCGAACATGACCACTTTGTGTGGAAGGTAACGGTGGGTGTCCCATGGGCAGTGGGTGTCCCATGGGCAGGCTTCCCTCCCACCAGAGCGATGGGGAATTTCCACCACCAGGGCTGTGAACGGGAGATGAGCAGTCCCAATTGCCACGTGAGCGGCAACTCTCTCAGACTTTTTATCCGAGGAGTGAAAACGAGACCGATGACGGCGGGTGGAGCGACAGAGAGCCACGGCGGAACGTTCACAGTGGAAGCCGGGAGCCTCGCTCGTCTCCCCGAGTCACCGCCACAAGGAGACAAGGCGGAGTCACGCATTTATCAATTATTGATAATGAAATGAAGCAGATTATTTCACGTGAACACGACTCTTTCCCTGTGATAATTCTTCCCAGCAAAGCGGCGCGAAACCAGATTAACCTAGCGACCCAACATCAAAGACAGAGACAAAGATCCCCCAGATAGCCTCAACAGTCTGTTGAGGCAAGTGCTATTAGCGAGCAACCTTTGAAGACCGGACCGGCACACCAGGGGATGGGTGGCCAGCACCACGCCCGCCCGCCTTTGTTTTCCCAGTGGCGATGTTTGCACATCGCACCAGGTCCTCATTTGAGGCCGAGTCAACCTAGGAGAGGCCCAGGACCAATTCAGATAATCGTCACTGGTGTTGACCGTGCGCGGGAACCGAACTCGGGTCGCTGACCGTTGCACTACCGCTCTCCACCCCCCATCACCACCACCCCTACCATCACCACTTCCACCACATACAATATAAATACACACAGGTGACACACCTCATTCACATACTTGTCCCTCCACGTACAAATATGTTTACACTTCCCATCAGCCACGCGGCTACTCAGGAGTGATCTCTTTCAGCAGCATTGCTTTACTACCCTCCCCTAGGTCGATCCAGCCTTAAATGAGTACCTGGTGCGGTGTCTAAACATCACAACTGGAGAAACAAAGGCGGTCGGACGCAATCCCGGCCACACCACCCCTCGCGTGCCACGTTGGCCTCCGCAGCAGCTCGCTAACAGCCCTTGCCCCGGCAGTCCGTTGAGGCTACCCGGGGGATCTTTGTGCGTGCGTTTCGCGTCGCGAGCACCTGGGAGAGCGGACACTCCTTGGCCAGGGCGCTCTGGTTGGAGTCCCGCAGCAGCCGCTGCAGGGCGCAGCGCACGTTGGTGTGGGTCCACTGGCCCGGGGGGAGGTCCTCCAGCCCCGGGCAGCTGTCGCCAAGGCAACCGCATCACCGCCATCATCGGTGCCGTCGCCGCACCAGCACCAGCACCAGCGGCAACACCGTGAGCACAGGCGCCTCCGATTAGCACGGTCGGTTACGTATGGCGCGCGAGAAGTTCGACGACATCGCTGCACACACCATCGTTGCAAACCTCACCACGACCATTACCGGTGCGGCGGCCGCGGCATCACTACGGCAAACACGAGCGATCACGGGCTGTGATCGCATCTCACGCGCGGCTAATTCACAAACGATGCAGCTCTGCATCTCCGCTTCAGGTTACACACACGCCACACACAAACACCACACGCACGCTAACCGCCAACCGCACAATCGCAAATCACAACCACGCCCGACCGCACACCGTAACCACTCACCCACACGCACAACGGTGCGCCCCGATCGCTCGCAACCACCCGACACAAGCACCCAACACAACCACCCAACACAAGCACCCAACGCAACCATCCCACGCAACCATCCCACACAAGCACCCAACACACGCACCCACCACAAGCACCCAACACAAGCACCCAACACAACCATCCCACACAAGCACCCAACACAACCATGCCACACAACCATCCCACACAAGCACCCAACACAAGCACCCAACACAAGCAAGCGCCCGGACGACGGCGCCCCGCGCGAGCCCCACCAGTGCAGGCGAATGTAGAGCGTGAGGACGTGGAAGACGTCGTGCAGCAGCTCCCCCACGGTGGCCTCGGCAGCGTCGCTCACGCAGCCCAGGGGCAGCGGCTTCCACACCCCCACCCTCAGCTGCCCTGCACCGCCACGGCGAGAGGGGGGGGGGTGTTAACGAGGAGGAGGAGGGCGGCAGCGTGGGCGCCGTGTCGTCGTCGTCGTCCGTCGTCGTCACCGTCGTCGTCACCGTTATCGTCGTAGCCTCGGTCGTCTTGCCACGATCTCCCTAAACATCGCCGTGCCGGCGTCCACAGACGCCGCTCCGCGCCGACGGCACTCGCCCCGAACGGCACGTCGCGGCTACGGGGGATCTTTGTCCTTCGGGGTGTGGGGGGGGGGGGGGAGGATCAGGACGGGCAGAGGGCACCCCCCCCCCCCGCTCACCGGAGGCGTGGGTGGCCGTGGAGGGCGAGTAGCCCAGGGCGAGGAGCGCCGCCTCGGGCAGCCGAGCGAAGGGCGCCTCGCGGGGCACCAGCGCAAACTCCACGTGCTCGCCGGGGCCTGGGCCCTCGGCTCCCAGCGCCCACTCGCCCCGCTCCACCACGCACAGCAACGGCAGCGTGCGGCCTGCGGGGTCCAGGGTGGGGGGAGACCCGGGGTGAACCGCGAAGGGCGAGGGGCGCAGGGCGAGGGGGGAAGAGGGAGACGGGGATGGGAAGGGAGGCACGGCGTGCGACGGTGCGGGTGCGGGACCATTACTCGAGCTCCCGCGGGGAGCCGCGGCCAGGGGCGGCCCCAGGGGCGGCCACCCGCCGCCCACGTCCTCCGCGCGGGGCGTCCCCTTGCAGGGACGGCGGCGGTTCGCGGTCTCCGTCGGGGCCGACGAGGCGAGACCCCGGACTCCGGGGCGGGGGGCTGGGCCTGCTCATGCTGCTGCAGGCGGGGGCACGGAGAGAGGCGCTGATCAATATCGAGACGTCACCGCGGCCCCAGCGGTCGATGCCGCCGCCGCCGCCGCCGCCGCGCCTCCTCGCTGCCAACGCTCTCTCCACTCCGCCAGATGCCGCCGCGGCTGCTCGCGCAGAAGACACGCGACGCCCTCCGAGACCTGTGCCGAGAGCCGAGAGCCTCCTCCGCGTGGTCACCAGACGCGCGGAGACCTCTCCTCCGATGCCGGTCTCGGCAATGGGCCCCCCGCCACGCTCGGCCAGCGCTGCCAACTCACGCTGGCGCAGAGGCGCCAGGCGAAGCTGGGCAAGTCGCCCGACGTCGCACAATGTAACAATCGTGATGTGACAGCGCTCTGTCAATCCACTGCTGGATGAAGGCCTCCCTACGCCATGTCGGTAGTAGGGGTTGTATGACCATACTTCACCACACTGGTTGGTGCGGGGTTGAGATATCGCTCGCTGCAGGTGAACTGTGGCTGGGAACAACTTGTATAGGCCAGGCTCGTGGTGCAGTGCGCCAACCACGATGCCACCACTCCACGCAGTTTAACAGCCCAGACAGTAAACCGGAATGCAGCATCCAGCGCTCATAAATACGCATCTCCTCGTGCCAGGATTGTAGGCGACACACTCAGCATATTCGTCAAGAACACTGCCCGGAGAGGAAACCAGATCCCTATAAACTAAGAGACGTTTCAGGCAATGGCCCTTCTTCATAGCAGAGTCGCGATATTTGTCTCTCGTCGTGAAACGCAACGCGGCCACCCAACTCGAGCAGCGGAGTTCGCTGAGTCACAGAGGCGCGATGACGACCCGGCGAGCAGGAGAGAGAAGCGGACAGGAGACCCCCGAGGGGAGCGAGTTGAGGACGAGACGTAGAAGCGAGAGGGAAATGCATTCACTTTGTAGCCGCTACAATTTGATTCGAGCTGGCATTTTGGTTCACCTCTAATGTGTTAATGACTGCGAGGTCTCCGTGAGCTATTTGGGGCCCATGCACTTTTGCTTCGTTGGCTCATGCGGAGCTCCGTCCGCCCGCGTGTGTGGACGCGGGGCCATGTGGGTTCACTCGAGGGGGGGGTTCACTTTGGGTGTCACAAATCGCAGTTTAAATTTGCCCGCAAAGCTCTGCGGTGATGACGGCACGCCGCGGAGCGTGGGAACTGGGCAGGAAAAGTCGGTGGCGGTGGTGGTGGTGGTGGTAGTTGTGGTGGTGGTGGTGGTTGTGGTGGTCACAGTGATGGCCAGCAGAGATCATATTCATCCGGAGTCATCCAGGGCTGAGCTCTGGAAACTGTCCCTGCCTCCACTACCCTGTTGTTGCTGGTTGTGAGATTTGGGGAATTATGGAGGGGGTGGCCTGGAATAGATGTTCACTCCTCGCCTGGTATACAGGAGGTCGTGGGTTTGATCCCGAGCCAGACGCCTGAGCTGGATATTTGGAGCTTGCGTGTCTCTCTCACCGCGGTCGCGTGGATTTGTCTCCGGGTCCTCCGGTGTTTCCCTCCACATTTGTAAACATGCGTGTCGAGGATTTGTCTGCTATACATTTCCACGTGAGGACAAGCCACTTCGTTGAGCTATCATGTGGCCAGGTCGCTTCTGAAAAAGGGCTGTAACTCTCAGTGGGCCTTACCTGGTAAGATATAGTAGTTTAAAACGTTTAGTGAATAACCATACGCATATATTCTACGAGAATTGGAAGCGCTGTGTAATGAAGGGGCGGTCATGGGTTAATGGGTTAATTGGGAGGGGGGAGGAGCCCGGGCTGAGCCTCCACGTGTGGGCGTGGCTTGCGGACAGGTGGGCGAGACGAGAGGTGAACGGCAGGAATCGAACTCAGGTCCGTCGGGTTCGTGTGCGAACCACTGCACAACGGCTCCCCCACACAACAACAACAACATTCGCCACTAAGTTGTGGTGAAGTCACCACGGCGCTTGTGCCAGGCTACGTGCACTTTGAAGACACGTGAAGTGTCGCTGGCAGGAGGTTCCGCACGAACACACACACGCGCACCTGCATACATACCCTGAGACAATTTTACAGATACACCTACAGGAACACCTCAAGGGACTGCGTTTAAGATGACAATCGCGGTTAAGAGGACGGTGGCGGTTAAGCACGGCATGCTCCCTCCGTGGCGGCAGTTCAACAGTCACCGTGGTGGACGAACAGGACAAACCACTGCCCCCCACCTCACAAAAGTTCACAAGACCACGTGTTATGTTTACAGGGTTCCGTTTTGGGCGATGCATGGGCGTGCCGGCACTCTCGTGGAAGTGCCTTACGTCGATGGAGGGAGCGGAGGGTGCGCTACGCGGGTGGTAGAGACCCCACCCCTTCTCATTTCCCACATCCATCAATCGATGACTCCACACGTCAATCACTCCCTCCATCATCCCCCATCTTCATCCATCCCGAGATCCCTCCTTCAATCTCTACATCTATTCCTCTCGCCCTCCCTCCGCCCGTCCTCACTTCCTCATCCACCAGTCACTCCATCCCTCTCATCCACCCACCAGTCACTCCATCCCTCTCCCACCCACCAGTCACTCCATCGCTCTCCCCACCCACCAGTCACTCCATCGCTCTCCCACCCACCAGTCACTCCATCGCTCTCCCCACCCACCAGTCACTCCATACCTCTCCCCACCAGTCACTCCATCCCTCTCCCCACCAATCACTCCACCCCTCTCCCACCCACCAGTCACTCCATCCCTCTCCCCACCAGTCACTCCATCGCTCTCCCCACCCACCAATCACTCCATCCCTCTCCCCACCAATCACTCCATCCCTCTCCCCACCCACCAATCACTCCATCCCTCTCCCCACCAATCACTCCATTCCTCTCCCCACCCACCAATCACTCCATTCCTCTCCCCACCAGTCACTCCACCCCTCTCCCACCCACCAGTCACTCCATCCCTCTCCCCACCAGTCACTCCATCGCTCTCCCCACCCACCAGTCACTCCATCCCTCTCCCCACCAGTCACTCCATCGCTCTCCCCACCCACCAATCACTCCATCCCTCTCCCCACCAGTCACTCCATCCCTCTCCCCACCCACCAATCACTCCATCCCTCTCCCCACCAATCACTCCATCCCTCTCCCCACCCACCAATCACTCCATCCCTCTCCCCACCAATCACTCCATTCCTCTCCCCACCCACCAATCACTCCATCCCTCTCCCCACCAGTCACTCCATCCCTCTCCCCACCCACCAATCACTCCATTCCTCTCCCCACCAATCACTCCATCCCTCTCATCACCAATCAATCACTCCATCCCTCTCCCCACCCACCAATCACTCCATCCCTCTCCCCACCAGTCACTCCATCCCTCTCCCCACCCACCAATCACTCCATTCCTCTCCCCACCAATCACTCCATCCCTCTCATCACCAATCAATCCATCCCTCTCCCCACCCACCAATCACTCCATTCCTCTCCCCACCAATCACTCCATCCCTCTCATCACCAATCAATCACTCCATCCCTCTCCCCACCCACCAATCACTCCATCCCTCTCCCCACCAATCAATCACTCCATCCCTCTCCCCACCAATCACTCCATCCCTCTCCCCACCAATCACTCCATCCCTCTCCCCACCCACCAATCACTCCATCCCTCTCCCCACCAATCAATCACTCCATCCCTCTCCCCACCCACCAATCACTCCATCCCTCTCCCCACCAATCAATCACTCCATCCCTCTCCCCACCAATCACTCCATCCCTCTCCCCACCAATCACTCCATCCCTCTCCCCACCCACCAATCACTCCATCCCTCTCCCCACCAATCACTCCATCCCTCTCCCCACCCACCAGTCACTCCATCCCTCTCCTCCACCCACCAATCACTCCATCCCTCTCCCCACCAATCACTCCATCCCTCTCCCCACCAATCACTCCATCCCTCTCCCCACCAGTCACTCCATCCCTCTCCCCACCCACCAGTCACTCCATCCCTCTCCCCACCAGTCACTCCATCCCTCTCCCCACCCACCAGTCACTCCACCCCTCTCCCCACCAGTCACTCCATCCCTCTCCCCACCCACCAATCACTCCACCCCTCTCCCCACCAGTCACTCCATCCCTCTCCCCACCCACCAATCACTCCATCCCTCTCCCCACCCACCAGTCACTCCATCCCTCTCCCCACCAATCACTCCATTCCTCTCCCCACCAATCACTCCATCCCTCTCCCCATCCATCAATCACTCCATCCATCCATTCCGTCATTCCATCCCAGCCTCTCTTCCCTCCTCCCTCTAACCACGCGCCCGTCGCCCTCTCTGTCCATCGCTGCCGCTTGCGACTGTCTCCATCAACGCGGGACAGTGACAGCCACGGAGGGCTTCCCTCACCATCACTCTCAGGCTGCTGCACCATCACCGCAACCATCACCAACATCGTCACCAACATCGTCACACCTCGCAGGCGGACAGCCCCACCACCCGCCCCCGAACTCCAGATCCAAACAAAGCGCGCGGGTTGGTGGTAGTGGTGGGGGTGGTGATGTGGGGTGGTGGTGTGGTGGTGGTAGTGGTGGGGGTGGTAGTGTGGGGTGGTGGTGTGGGGGTGGTGGTGGTAGTGGTGGGGGTGGTAGTGTGGGGTGGTGGTGTGGGGTGGTGGTGTGGGGTGGTGGTGTGGTGGTGGTAGTGGTGGGGGTGGTGGTGTGGTGGGGGTGGTGGTGGTAGTGGTGGGGGTAGTGGTGGTGTTGTGGTGGTAGTGTGGGGTGGTGGTGGGTGGTCCCCGTTATCTCACCTGCTCCAGGCGGAGGGGGGGGCGATGTCGCCAGCGAGGTGGTATCGCGAGGTAGCATCGAGCCGACGCTGCTGCTGGTGGTGCTGCTGGTGGTGGTGCTGGTGGTGGTGTTGCTGGCGGTGCTGGTGGCGCTGTTGGTGCTTATGGTGATGGTGGTGGTGCTGGTGGTGCTGATGGTGGTGGTGCTGCTGGTGGTGGTGCTGGTGCTGGCGGTGCTGATGGTGGTGGTGATGGAGAGTGAAGGCGGCAGCAGCAGCAGCCGCCGCCTGCCGCTGCTCTCGAGGCTGCAGTGCCTCGCGGGCGCGGCCAGACACGGGGAGCAGCGGCGCCTGGAGTCGTCACGCGATCTCCCCGCCCCGTGCATCATCATCACCACCACAGCAGCAGCAGCAGCGCCTCGCACGCAGCCCCCACCCCCTCCCTTCCCCTCCCACACCCCACAGCCCTCACCCATCCTCGCAGCCAGAGCCAGCGTCCCCCTCTTCTCTTTTCCCGGCGATGGGGATTGGTGGCGTCTGCCGCGTGTAATTGCTGCTCGAGCAATTATGTCGATGGGCGGGCTTGCCTGGTAGGGGGTGAGGGGCTCTGGAAGAGGGCGGGTGAGTTGGTGAGTGGGTTGGTGAGTGGGGTGGAGAGTGGCTGGCTGAGTTGGTGAGTGGGGTGGAGAGTTGGTGAGTGGGGTTGAGAGTTGGTGAGTGGGGTGGTGAGTGGCTGGGTGAGTTGGTGAGTGGCTGGCTGAGTTAGTGAGTGGGGTGGAGAGTTGGTGAGTTGGTGAGTGGGGTGGAGAGTGGCCGGGTGAGTTGGTGAGTGAGTTGGTGAGTGGCTGGCTGAGTTGGTGAGTGAGTTGGTGAGTGGCTGGGTGCATTGGTGAGTGGGGTGGAGAGTGGCTGGGTGAGTTGGTGAGTGAGTTGGTGAGTGGCGGGTGAGTTGGTGAGTGGCTGGTTGAGTTGGTGAGTGGGGTGGAGAGTGGCTGGCTGAGTTGGTGAGTGGGATTGGTGAGTGGCTGGCTGAGTTGGTGAGTGAGTTGGTGAGTGGTGGGTGAGTTGGTGAGTGGGGTGGAGAGTGGCTGGCTGAGTTGGTGAGTGGGGTGGAGTGGTGGGTGAGTTGGTGAGTGGGGTGGAGAGTTGGTGAGTGGGGTGAAGAGTGGCTGGGTGAGTTGGTGAGTGGCTGGGTGAGTTGGTGAGTGGGGTGGAGAGTGGCTGGCTGAGTTGGTGAGTGGGGTGGAGAGTTGGTGAGTTGGGTGGAGAGTTGGTGAGTGGGGTGGAGAGTTGGTGAGTGGGGTGAAGAGTGGTTGGGTGAGTTGGTGAGTGGCTGGGTGAGTTGGTGAGTGGCTGGGTGAGTTGGTGAATGGCTGGGTGAGTTGGTGAATGGGGTGAAGAGTGGCTGGGTGAGAGGTTGAGTGGGTGAGGGCGTTGGCGATGGTGGGAGGGTGGCGATAATTATGATGGAGGTTAGGCAAGAGAAGGGGGGGGGTCATGATGCGGGTAAGATCAATGATGATGATGGAGGTGAGGCAAGAGAGGGGAGGGTGGTGATGCGGGTAAGATACGGATGATGGTGGTGATGCGGGTAAGATACGGATGATGGTGGTTGGTGGTGGTGGCGAGGGAGGGTGGTGATGCGGGTAAGATACGGATGATGATGATGGTGGTGGTTGGTGGTGGCGAGGGAGGGTGGTGATGCGGGTATGATACGGATGATGATGATGGTGGTGGTTGGTGGTGGCGAGGGAGGGTGGTGATGCGGGTATGATACGGATGATGATGATGATGGTGGTGGTTGGTGGTGGCGAGGGAGGGTGGTGATGCGGGTACGATACGGATGATGATGATGATGGTGGTGGTTGGTGGTGGCGAGGGAGGGTGGTGATGCGGGTACGATACGGATGATGATGATGATGATGGTGGTGGTTGGTGGTGGCGAGGGAGGGTGGTGATGCGGGTACGATACGGATGATGATGATGATGGTGGTGGTTGGTGGTGGCGAGGGAGGGTGGTGATGCGGGTATGATACGGATGATGATGATGATGGTGGTGGTTGGTGGTGGCGAGGGAGGGTGGTGATGTGCCCGCGACAGATGCCTGGCGTCAGCACTGCCTTATTATCCGGATTACAGCGCCATAAATCACGATTCAAGGCGGTAATTATCGGTTTCGTGCTTTTTTTCTCTCGTGCCATTTTCTGTTTTTGACTTCATACACACACAGACACAATCCGTAATGAGGGCTAAAGTGTCCTGGGCTGGCGAGAGTTCCCACACTCACCCCCACTCACCCCCACTCGCCCTCCACCCGCACTCATCCCACTCACCCTCCACCCGCACTCATCCCACTCACCCTCCACTCAACCTCCACTCAACCTATTACTCACCACTCACCCTCCACTTAACACTGCCGCCTCATTCACCCGCAATTACATTCACCCCATTCACTCGCTCACCACTCACTCCAGAGTCTCACCTACCCACTCACCCACACACAAAAGCCAAAGAGCCCCCCGTGCAGCCTTTATAGACTGTTGGGGCGAGTGCTGTGAGAGAGCGATTATTGAAGGCCAGCACAGTGCACAAGGGGTGATGCGGCTGGAACGCCAGGCCACCTTTTGTCTCCCCACTGTACAAGGTACACATTTAAATCCGAGTGGACACGCTCACAGACATACAACAGCCGCCATACCACACAAGGTGTGACCTCACCCCAGCGCGTGTGCCAGGCTAGGTGCGTTTTGTGGCCGTCACGTGAATCCGCACTTCGGAAGGCTCTTTGACATGAGATTACGGGGACAGACCGAGGTGCCATGGGGTGACCGAGTTGACCGGCTGATGTACCACCACCACTACCACCACCACTACTGCCAGCTGTGTCCCCCGACCACGTGGACAGGCACGCGCCACGGAGACGTTGCATCGCAAGGCGGCGAGGAATGGTGACGGATTGGGGGCGCTTTCACCCAGCAGTGGATAGAGCACGGCGGCGGCTGCTGCTGCTGTTGCTGATGACGCCACAGTCGGCAAGGCGCCCGTGATGGAGAATGAGCCAGCAGCCACGCGCGGGGACTTCTCATCCTGCTGCTGCTGCCAGCAGGGCTGGAGGCGCCGATATGTTCGCGAGGACATCATCAACAACATCAACGTCGTCGTCGCCACCGAGCTGCGACGTCGAGCGGCATCTGCGGCGGTGGCGACACCTCGCGCCTCTTCGCGCCTACGTCGCCCGGGGGGACGCCTCCGCCGATCTCACCAGAGCCCTGGGGCAACACCACCACCATCAGCGGCGGTGGTGGCGGCGGCGGTGGCGCGGGGCCGACCTCGGGGCAGGGCGCGGCTGCCGTGGACGCGTGGCCACCACTGCCCGGGGCCCGGCCCGGCGCGCTCCGGGCCGTGGACGGGTGGCCACCACGGCCCGGGGCCCGGCCCGGCGTGCTCCGGGTCCCAGCCTCGTGGGGACCGCTGCGCTGCGTGTTAGATTGCACTGTGTGATTGTTACAATCTAATGTGAGCGTACGACGGAGGCACACGCACGCACACAAATGCAGACGCAAGCAAGCAAGTAGTTCATATTCTTAGGTTTTTTCGGTAAAGTCACGGAAGCTTGTGTTGCCTCCGAAACGTCGTGATTTTTTTTTTTACTTTTATTAATTTTAATGTTTTACCTACGTGACTTTACCGAAAAAACCTAAGAATATGAATCCTTGCAGTCACGAAAGCTTCAAATCTAGAAGCAAGTAGTTAGTGAAGGTGCTACTGGCGAGTATTCAGGCCGGCACGGCGTCACGAAAGGGATGGTGTGGCCAGAACTACAGCCCGGCCGCCTTTCTCTCCCCAGCGCTGAAGTCCGCAGTCCCAACCACAGCACCGGTCCAAGACCGAAGCCTGCGAATCCCAAGGGACGGTGACTCCGAGGCGTAGACATCGCACGCAAGGCGGCTGGGCGACGCCTACTCGGAGAAGACCCCAACTCGGAGAGGACCCCAACTCGGAGAAGACCCCAACTCGGAGAGGACCCCAACTCGAACGGTGCACGAGGTGGGCAGCGTTGCCTGTGCGACAGCTCTCCGCCTTGTCCACACCACCAACTCGATAGAACTTCATTTGTGGCCATTTTGTCATGAAGACCACTAACCTAAAGAGCTGAGAAGTTGCGGTCATTCCCACAACAGGAAGCGGTGAAACAGACACGACTGTAGACCGGCTTCGTCTCCATGAGGACTCGTCAATGAGCACAGACATCAATGTCGCTGTCGCCATCAGCCTGTGTAAGCCACGCCTTACCTGCAGAGGGCTTGTATGTACGTATGTTAAACTTCTTTAGCGCCGTACGTAACCAACCGTGATCATCGGAGGTGCGGGGAAGGACAAAAACTAACCCGGACTATGGGGACCCCACTGGAACTCGCCTGCAGGGATCAATGATTCGAATCCGGGTTTTTTCGGCAGTTACGGATTTTTAACCAAAAGTACAAATTCCTTGGCCAGCGCGAAACGAGCGGGAATTGTCACCAAAGTTGACCTCGTGAACTCGGCGTGCCAGCGTCTCACAAAACAGCGCAGCCCTCAGGCCCCCACGTGGCGTCTCGTGCTCCCTCCACGCCTCCGCACCGAGTGAACTCCGATGGCATCGCCGAGTGAACTCTGTGGCGGCGATGCGACGTCTGTACGATCGAGTACCACCTGGCCGTGAACTAAAAGAGGAATGATTCATTTATTTATTTGATCAACGGAGGTGGAAGTCGCGTCGGGCAGCCGAGGACACACGGCCTGGGCCAGAATCTCTGAAACAAGCTGCTGGCAACAGCGCATCCTCGACACGGGCGGCGGTCGATAAACAGCACGGTGTGCAGAGGGAGCCGAAGCCCATTCATTCCCCGCCCTCCGCCAACAGCGTCGCCGACGATATTCATCATCGACACTTCTGGATTCCCACCATGGGAACGTGGAATTTCCACAACCCGCTCACAACCTCCGACCAGACGAGCACCGCAAGAAATCTCTCCATCCGGTGGTGGGGGCCCCGCTCGGAGCACGAGGTAGAACTCTCATCTCAGGGGCCCCCCCGCCCCCCACAGGCCAGGACGAGACCCCCCACGGTGCGAAATCACCGGGCATGGTGGGGGGGGGGGGGGGGGATTGAGATCGGTGCGGCGAAGAGGCGGGGGGAGGGATGAGAGGCGGCGTGAGTGACGCGCCGCGTGGCTCACGACGAGTCGTGGCCGTGCCCTCGTCACGTGAGCGCCGTCTAAATTATTGATCGCGCGCCCCCCACGGCGCCCCCCCCCCCCCGCCTCGTCGTACCCAGCCGGTTTCTTAAATATTTCAGCAGCTGCGCTGAATATGAATACGGCCGCTCAAGCGAGCGAGCCGTGGCTGGTAGTTATTTATTTATTGCCGATCACCATGGCGCTCGCCACCGTGCCAGGGAGCTGCTCCTCCGTGTGAACCGTGCGGGGCCAAGCGCGGCGACTGCAGCCACCACAAACTGCTGCTGCCGCCCCCCGCGTGGCCGGTACAGATCCAAAGGGGGTCCCAGTGGTTTCAGAAAGTCTGTCTCAAGTCCCCAACGAATCATTTGTGTGAATTGAAGATTTCGTCTCCGCCTTAAAGTACTTCGGCGTCGTGCCGGACTCGTGAGAGGTCACCACGTGTCTCGTTTGAGCCGCCTGAAAATGTGGTCGAGTTCATTGAGAGGTGGCAAGGTTGGAATTACACGGAGAGACCAGAAGAGGAACACACAGTGAGTTCGGGATGACACACAAGTTCAGAGGCGACGTATGGACTGTTTAGAACGTGAAGTGGACGGTGGCCGAGACCAACAATGGCGTGGCGGCCCAAGGAGGGAATGCGGCCAAGTTGGTCCAAATGCACTGGAACAAGGAGAAAGGGAATTGGACTGGGAGCCTTGCACCAGGGTCCATGCCATTGTTTCTGGGTGCACTATGTTAATGTGCGCTGTGTTAATGTGCACGTGGATTTAGTTTCTGGGTACAGCTTGTAGACAGTTGATCGGCAGGTCACGCGTGGTGACCGAGTTGACCCACTTCCTCCAGCGTGGAAGAGTAGGCCAAATACACTCAAGAGATCCCCCTCGTGAAGGCCCTTCCGCCGGCGCTTGAGCGAGCAATTGCGGGGCTGCGCCTTCAGCACCGTTGCGGATTGTAAAAGTGTCCTCCGACCACGGCAGTCCGAGTACACCTTGGGTGCCGCTGGTAAACACGCTGGCCGGCCTTTCCTCGCGAGCGGCGGCGCCGCGGCGGCTTCACATGCGGCGCCCCTCGCGCCGCCGCCAGAAGTCGGGCACGCCAGCGGCGATGGCCTCCTCGGCCAGGCGGAGGCAGCGGCCCGGCATGAAGCCCACGAGTGCCGTGCCCACCAGCCCCACGCCGGCGCCCGCCGCCAGCTCCCGCACGCGTGCCTCCACCCGCGCCGGCTCCGTGTACTCGAAGCTGCGGTGACAGCGGTGCAGGGAGGAGCGGCGGTGATCAGATTCTGCAAAATCGTGGAGGCGGCCGGGGTGGCTCGGAGCTCGGGGCACTCAACTGGCGCAGCTCAGATCCTGGGCTCAAATCCCGATTTCAGCCGCCCACTCTTGATTGAACCGGGTTCTCAGTCGTAGCGACGTGATGGTCATAGCCCAGTCACCAATGGCTGCACAAAACAACTATCGGGCTAAATTCCAGAACTCAATGTATCAATATTGGTTTGAGCGTGACGCGACGAGCATTACTCTGGAGCAGGGTCGGTGGGAGAATGCTGCCCTCCTGCTGCGCAGACCAGAGGTCGCTTGAGATCCAAATGGATCCTTCGTGTCATGCCACGACACCAGTAAATGGAAAGCCGCGCCTGGGCGCTGCTCGGTCTGTTTCCAGTCCACACCATGCACAGAACGTGTTGGATTTGAATTGCAATAAAATTTAGGAAAATTTACACAAGTAGTACAAAACACGAAATCGTTGTAGCTACATCGTGAAATGTCGGAGTGCGGGGGTCTATACAGGAATGGTTCTGAGGGCGGCCCACGGCAGTGCTGACCCCTGCCAATGACGACTTCGAGCCCCTCTTGGTGTCACGTCAGTCCCAGCCGGATCTAGAAACTTCCCCAGAGGGGAAGAGCCGCCCCGAATGTAACGCTTTTAAAGACTCGCCCCTACATGAATGGAAGCAAGATTAAACGTTAATTCTCCGGTAAATATAAATACAATATGGGATCTCAGGGGAGCAGGGTGGGTGGGATCGCCCTTGACCCCCCCACCCCTTGGGTTCACCACTGCTGCCAGACGCTCCGGCTGCTGCTGTGAATGGGGGCTCTGGAATCTGTGCGAGGCTCGTGCTGCCCCCCAGTGGAGTGACCTCTCATGACGCCAACGCTCTCTCAGTGAAGCTGCAGGCAACGCGTCCTTGAGAGCCTCGACAATCGGCTCAAGGTGGTGAATTTGGTGGCGAATTTGGTGGCAACAAAACCACGTGTCTCTCTCCGGTATTGGATCTGTGGTGCCCCTCGTACCGCGAGGCCGGCACGTGATCGCTGGCGCCGCCGTCGGCGCCGCCCGTGGCTCCACGTGCGTCGTCCTCTTCCTCCTAATGCACACGGCACGCGTTTACATCGACGTCGATAGTTTAATGGTCAGCGGCGAACGATAACCCGAACCTGTGCCGAGTCTCCACTTCGCCATCCCGCACTGACCAGCGTGACGAAGCGGGCACAAAACCTCGCGTGGCCCGCACGTCACGAGGAGGCCCTCATCCAGTAGTGGATCGGTAAAAGGGCTGCACCTGTACAAGAACTCAAGCCGATCGAGTTCTCCTACTTCTTACTGGAATCCCAGTGACCGACATCAGTGAATGCTCACTGACGTGCAGCGGCGCAGGGATCACGTGTGCAGCGGCGCAGCGATCACGTGTGCAGCGGCGCAGCGATCACGTGTGCAGCGGCGCAGCGATCACTGTGCAGGCGCTGCAAAGGCACCGGGGGGCCCCGTGGCCGGAGGACGTCGGCATGCGGCCACGGGGAGGAGATGCGAACGAGAGCGGCGACGGTGATGGGACTCGGTGCTGAGCGGACCCGGCTTCTGTGCTGCAGGAGCCCCGTGAGATACGATTATCGTGGTACCCTGCACTGGTCAACAAATCGTAGCATCGCCAAATCGCGGCCGTCCTTGTGCCACCCCGACGCTGGGCAAGAACTCGGGCCCGGCTTCAGCTCCTCTCGGATCCGGGAAGGCAGCAGTGGGGCCCCGGTGTCGAGTGCCACCGTAACGGTGACACTCGCCGCCAAGGACGGTGAACCTGACTGGGCCAAAGGGACGGTTGGTGGTGCGGGGCGCACCCCAGCGGCCCCCGAGCGCGTGCCCCGCCGCACGGCTCCTGCTGGGTCACACCTGGAGCGGGTCGAAGCGGCGCACGTTGCAGGCCACCTCGACGCGGCCCTCGTGAGGGAAGGCCATGGCTTCCACGCCGGGCTGGAGGCCCGCAGGACGTGTGCGATGCGGCGGCCCAGCCTCAGGTCGGTCGAGTCGATTGTCACGTTGCAGTTCATCACGTACGGCGTCGCGCCCACACCTGCGAGCGTCACACGTGGACGGCAGACGCACATACTGGCAAGGCGCCGACGAGGCAGCGGGGATAGTTTGGCAGAGCTGCTATTTTAGCCCTACCCCAAGTAAAATGGCCACGAACACTTACGCCGAGCATCCAGCCTAGCAGCCACGAGCAGGTTCTGCGAGCAGGCACCGTGACCGCACTGGTGCCCATGAACCGGAGAAGGAAAATTAGAGAGTGGTGGAGGTGGCCCAATTCGTGCCTTGCAACGGGTGCCGTGCCTACCACGTGATGCCACCGGCTGCAACCGACCGTACCCGCGGGTGGGAACGCGGTAATTCCCAATGCGCCTGAAGCACGGGGGAGGAACTCACCGGCGATGCCGTAGCGAGGGCCCGGCATGGGCCCCACGTCCGGGATGGGCGGGGTGACCTCGCCGGCGGTTTGGCCGGGGCCCCCGTACCAGGCCCACTCGCGCCGGCGCGACACCAGACTCCGGCGGCCGGGCTCGTCGGCCCAGCCGAAGAGGAACGCGGACGCGCCCGGCACCTGCAGCGTCAACTCCCGCGCCACGGCTACGCGCGCGGCCGGGCAGGAGGATGGGGGAACACGTGGAGAGACGGACGGATGCAGGGCCTCATCTCAGGAGGGTCACACCGGGTCACACGGCTCGATTTCCGTGCCCAGCACCGCATCACTTCAAGTCTGTGTGCTACGGCTGTGGCGACAAGCCACCTGCCACCGACGCCAGTCTACGAGTGACCCGGAGACTTTCAGTGAGACACGAACCCCTGGGCAGACGGAGACAGATGGCCAAACAAATTAACTTCTCATAACCTCCCCGTGACCGCCCTGTGCCCTCCCCGTGACCCCGCGTACCCTGGGCGACACGTCCGCACTCGCGCAGCCCGACGGAGTCGCTGAGCGGGTGCACGGGGACCAGGTCCACAGAGCCGAGGCACGGGTGCCCGCCGCTGTGCGCCGACACGTCGATGAGGGCGCACGCGCGCACGCACGCACTCACCAGGGATTCACCTGTGGGGGGGCGGAGAGAGGTGGGGAGTGAGGGGGCAGGGGGTTCCTCTATTCTTGCCGTTATATGGCCCTCCCTGGAACAAGCACAGTTGACGCTTGTGATCTGCATTCACTTAACTTGCTCATTCATTAATTTTACCACCACCACCACGCGTCTATGCGACGTGCCCCACTCCACCACACTGCACATCAACACCACGTGAAAATACACGCCGTCTACTTCACAGTGGACGATAGAGAGATCGCGTTATCCATGAGACTCGGTGAGGATTTCCTGGGTAAACAAGCAGAATGAAAATAATAATACCAACATACCCAGCGTCTCCACCGGAGCTACGATCGTGATGACGGAACGGTTGTACTCCAGGTCAGCGAACACGTTCAGCACGGTGGCATTGGGGAAGAGGCGTCCTGACACACGCGGGGTGGGCCACAGGAGACGCGCCGGGTGGGCCACAGGAGACGCGCGGCGTGGGCCACAGATTCAAGAATCTTTGCCCCCCAGGATCTGGGAGCTGCTGACTCGATGGCCCAACACGGGGCATCAGAAGCAAGCAAGACTGCCACCCAACACCTTGAACCCAAGGTCTCAGCAGGCCTGGTGTGCATCTTTCAAGTGTGCCTAAGCCAGTTAAACAGAATGTTTTGATTGCAATGCGATTTGCATCGTTGTACGTCTAAAGTAACGTGTACTTGACAAAGCCAAAACAAGGTGTCCTCTTAAATTGTTGAGGGTATATAGACCGTTCCCATCCCGGTACGACCCACCAACCCCACCCCGCGCCCCTACCGTGAGGAGTCCGCAGAGCGGCCCAGGCCACGGCCTCCACGACTTTGGGGTCCCGCGCCCCCGACACGTTCAGCAGAGAAGCGGCGAGACGCAGGGGACGGGGCATGACGGCCTGGGGGGGTGGGGGGCACGGGGGGGGGGGCACGGGGGGGGGGCACGGGAGGGGGGCACGGGGGGCGAGGGGAGGAGACTGCAGCTGAAACCCGCTCAAGGCGAGACGGCCCCCTCCTCACGTGGGCATTGCCACAATGGTGCTGCTCATCTCCTGGGCCATCGTCGGACGCTCCACATTCCTGTGGCGGGGACTTATCTCCACAGGACAAACACGGTTCGACTTCCACACAAAGTGGTACTCATTTTAAAGACCCCGGAGGGAGGGCTGATGGGCTAGGTCAACCACCTGGTCGGAGTGCGGGTGAGAGATAGTGGTGAGGAGTGGGGGTGAGAGTTGGGGAGAGATAGGGGTGAGAGATAGGGTGAGGAGTGGGGGTGAGAGATAGTGGTGAGGAGTGGGGGTGAGAGATAGTGGTGAGGAGTGGGGGTGAGAGTTGGGGTGAGGTGATAGGGTGAGTATTGGGGGTGAGGAGTGGGGGTGAGAGATAGGGTGAGGATTGGGGGTGAGCGATAGGGGTGAGGAGTGGGGTGAGAGATAGTGGTGAGGAGTGTGGTGAAGTATGGTCAGGGCCTATATGACCCTCTAACAGAATACCACCGGCGTGGGAGGTCTTCATCCAGCAGTGGACTGACAGACGGACTTCAGTGGCATTCCTCCTCCTCATCGAAGCCACCGCTGTGGAGCCATGGACCGCACGAGAACACCACCAGGCCGACACGCCACGTCTCAGTCATTCGTGGACATTTAGAAAGGGGCACAGGAGTGCGTGGAGCGTGCCCACGCAGCCCACGCCGTGGCCACGCCGCGAGCCACGTGGTGCTCGGCGCTACGTCAACGGAGGAGGAATACCGAACGTGCAGGAGGAACTCTGTCTGCTGAAGCCCTCTCACTCGAGATTTGAAGCTTTCGTGACTGCAAGGATTCATACTCTTAGTTTTTTCGGTAAAGTCACGTAGGTAAAAAAATGAAATTAATATTATTATTTTTAATTAATTTTAATTTAATTTTTTTGCCTACGTGACTTACAGAAAAAACTGAGAGTATGAACCCTCTCACTCACTCACGCTCGTCGTGGCAGCAGCAGCAGCAGCGGCGGCGGCGAACCTCTCGACTTGGCCCCAAGACCTCCTGCCTCCTCACGGCAGAGCAGCAGCTGCTGCCGCCGTCGTCACGCAGTGTGCCACTTGGTGGGCGACTTGGTGAGCGAGTTGATGGGCGACTTGGTGAGCGAGTTGATGAGCGAGTTCACAAGTCGGCGAGCTCGTTGGCGGGTGGGCAGAGAGCAGGGCGAGTGAGCAGTGAGTGGGTAGTGAGTGTGAGTGATGGGTAGTGAGTGGGTGAGTGAGTGGGTGAGTAGTGGGTGAGTGGTGGGTGAGTGAGTAGTGGGTGAGTGGTGGGTGAGTGAGTAGTGAGTGAGTGAGTAGTGGATGAGTGAGTGGTGGGTGAGTGAGTAGTGGGTGAGTGGTGGGTTAGTGAGTAGTGGGTGGGTGAGTGGTGAGTAGTGAGTGCTGGGTGAGTGAGTAGTGAGTGGTGGGTGAGTGAGTGAGTAGTGGATGAGTGAGTGGTGGGTGAGTGAGTAGTGGGTGGGTGAGTGGTGAGTAGTGAGTGGTGGGTGAGTGAGTAGTGAGTGCTGGGTGAGTGAGTAGTGAGTAGTGGGTGGGTGAATGGTGAGTAGTGAGTGAGTAGTGAGTGCTGGGTGAGTGGTGGGTGAGCTCTTGCGCACGCGGTCAGGGCGAGGTTAAAGGGGCTCACCTGGTCACGTGCCTCTGCCGTGGGGGCGGGGCTTGTGGGGGAGGGGCGGGGCTGTTTCCGTTAGCGCACTCCGGGGTCTAGAAGTGGTGCATTCGCAATACGCCCCGAAGGCAGTTGCTTGACGCCTGACGGGCTTAATGCCATGACATTATCTTCCCTGAGGGCGACTGGCGATGTCAATATGTTTGTATTTGTTCGCTACTCCCCGCAGCCCCTCCCCCCGTCCTCGCGCGCGTTTATTCGTTATTTGTCAAATCAAAACAGCAACTTGTTAACTTGTGAGGCGATATTTAGCGCTGCATTTAGCATTGCACGACAGAAACACGAACTTTATTGTTTGTCGTTATTTTGTATTTTTCACGCGGCCACCGTCGCCTCGTGAGGCGACCTCGGCCGCAGCGCGCGCGGCGCGCCTCGCCGCCACGCAGTTTACAACAACAACCACAACAACAACAATCACAACAACAATCACAACAACCACCACAACAACCACCACAACAACAATCACAACAACAACCACCACAACAACAATCACAACAACAACCACCACAACAGCCACCACCACAACAATCACCACAACAACCACCACAACAATCACCACAACAATCACCACAACAACCACCACCACAACAGCCACAACAACCACCACCACGATTGCTCTCTTTGTGTCATTAGTCATTGGCACCAGCAGAAGGACGAGAGAGACTTTCAAGTCGTCGTTGTGGGAATAATTTGACATTTAGAACGGCGACGGCGCCGCCGCCGGCATCTGCAATGGCCAGGAGACAGCAGACGAGAGGTAATTCTGGACTTGAGGCTTTCGTGACTGCAAGGATTCATAACTCTTTGGTCTTTTCGGTAAAGTCACGTAGGTGAAAATATAAATACATAATAAACCACGTTTCGGAGGCAACACAAGTCTCCGTAATCAGGTGGGACCGTCACAGCTAAATTTACTATATCAAGTGAGTAAAAATCCAAGAGACAAGCTCTTATATACTAGTTAGGGGAATGTGGTAGCCAATGAATGGACCGGTGGGGGGGGGGGCTAAAAGAGAACCAATCGGTGCACCTCCACTCGGGGTTGTGGCCGGTGTTAGCTGACAATCAAAATACAAGAAAGCAATACTGTTAAACGCTGGGGATGTCAACAATCGGTAAAGTAGAATAGTACCTGTCAAATAAGATGGTACAAATGTGTAGTTAAATCTTTTTTACATGGTTAATAACATCTTTCCAATGATTACTCAGTTTGTACCCATCATCACAGTTGAAGTTATGTCTGTGTTTGTATATTTGGATGGCTTCGTGTACAAACCTTTGATGGTAGCCAGAAGGTTTGCAGAGCACCTTGGTCTCGGAAAAGACAATATCATGAGAGCCCACAGCGTTGTAGCAATGATCGGCATCGGCGGAAGACTAAATTTTGCCGTGTTTCAGATCTGACTTGTGCTCGCGGACACGATCGGAGACATGACGTTTCGTTTCCCCAATGTAACAATCACCACAGATGCAACTCAGTTTATAGACTCCAGGGTATTGCAAGTCAGAAATGACATATTTTACAGATGGGATTAGATCACGGATTTTATGTACTGTACTGAATCGGACTTGGATCTTATGTTTGTTTAGAATTTTGGAGATCTTTTTGGTCACGTCTGCTATGTATGGTAACGTGACAGTTTTGATCGGAGTTTCAAGTGGCTGTTTCTGTATGGTGGGAGAAACAGCTTGGCGGATAGTGCGGTCAGAGTATCCGTTCATCTTGAGGGCCCGATGTACATATTTCAATTCACTGGCCAGGTGGTGTTGGTCAGAGATGCAATGAGCTCTGTGGTATAGTGTTTTGATGAGAAAATTATTTTGAGCCGGGTGGTGGTGGGAATCAGGTTTCAAGTAGGAATCTGTATGGGTGGCTTTCCTGTAGCTTGGGCTGGGCACCTGTGAATTTGAGCTTCATAGCGCATCGGGTTTTTCCAAATTAAATAAAATGTCTACACAGCGCTTTTGTCGAGTCACTGAACGATGAAGGCCTCCCCACGCTTTGCGGGTTATCCAGCCAAACCTCAGTGGGTTGCTTAAGGCAGGGAGCATAGACATGGGAGCATAACACGCTACGTACGGTGAAAATGAAGTTCAACATACATACGGTACAATGGCTTTTGCTAAACTGCCCTCTGCTGCCCACAATGTCGCCTTGCAGCAATGCACAATGGTCACCCATTCAAGCGCTACCCAGGCTCACTCCCTGCTTTGCTTCCGAGCTTTGAGGGGTTCGGGATCATCGGCGAGGCCAAGGGACAGGCTTCGGCTCTGTGTGTGCACACATACAAGTGTATTGATTTTAGACGCTCGTACGGTAACATTCGTGTAGGGATTTACAAGAGCAAACACTGCCACTCTATCCACAAGCCTTCTCTTCACTCATTTTGTCTCTCGTGACAGACTTATCTGACATGACGTTCGACATGAAAACCGGCGTCGTTCTGGCCCAGCCTGGCACCCAGGAAAACATTAAAGAGAAGGTGAACCTATTTCTTGCAGAGCACCGCCTAGAAAACAATCATATATGCAACCGCAAACCAGTTTAAATGCATGGATGGGTTTACACAATTCATGGGTCCGATGCAATATGCGGCACGCAAATGTATCTTAAGTGTTGTGGCGAACGTGAAGATCCGAATTACCTTTGGCAGGTGAATGCGGTTCGCACTATCGTCCCAAACAGAAGCAAGAACGAGGTGGTGCTGATTCTGCAATACTTTGACTACAGCGTGGACAGGGCGGTCCAGGCCTTCCTGGAAGGTACCGTGGAAATCTCACGAACAAAAAGTTAACCGAGCTGATGTTGTTCAATTGGCTCAAAACCTTCACGTTTTCCATCTGCTTACGACATTCCCACTGCTTCTTGACAGCATCTTACGATGCGGTTGCATTACAACCTTTTCTACATCCAAATGGTATTGTAACTGCACCGATGGCAGTGCCAATGCTCGTCTGACCTTCCCCATAATGTTACTTTCCAGATGAAGTCGCCGAGATTTTTAAAGAGTGGAACATCTCCGGGAAAAAAAAGGTGCGTCACCCACTTTGCGGTGTTAGTACCACATACAATCAGATGTTACTTTGTATACATCGCAAACGACTTGAGCCCACAAACAGCACAGATTTTGACAAGCACTCTTCTTAATGAGAATAAACTGGTAATTTGCTTGAAATATGAACCAAAACCATGAGTGATGAAACAACATGAAGGCACCCTTAAAAGGGACTTGTATATCACAGAACTATAAACGGGCAATACTCGATTATCAGGGTAACGGTGAGGAGTGGTGGGGCTTTGATAATAAAAAACGTTAATAATTTGGGGTAAAAGAACGATTATTTACCTTTGGTGTCATTCGTCATGGTCCATATGTATTCCCAAATAATTTCTGATGATCGGTGTCACCATCTGCTGAACTTCTTTAACCTTAACATTTGGCTCAAGGGGATTGCTAAATGTGAATGTTAAAGTAGTCCAGCGACTAACTAAAGTTGAACAAGGTACGAAATATCTTTACTGCGCGTTATATATGCGGTGTACCTGACACCGCAAGGACCCGAGTCCTTGTTCACAATGAGGAGCAGATAATAAATTCACCAGCCCTTGGGCTTTGAAAATTGAGAGCTGGATACCCTTACAAATGAGACGTTACATTTGAAGGAAATATCCAGGTTAAATATTTTAATAATAAAAACAGTCTCACTTATGTATGGCTTGTACGTGCGCGGCTTCCGCACGCGTTATTTGCCCGTCACGGACTTGACGTTACCGCTATATTCCGTATGCAGAACTCGAGGAAGAAGCAGCCCAGGGGTCAGGCACAACGAGCAAACGCTTGGCGTGAGGGCGCTCAATTGGACGTAGCCAAGACAGGCCTGGCCGGCACAGAGGGGCCTGTGGCCACGGCGGGAGGGCCGGGCACGCGGGCGACTCCACTCACCGCGACGGATTCAGAGCCCGCATTGTCGTGCGCCGCCTCCGAGGAGAACGCCTCACGAGACGGGCGCGACGAGGAGCTCGCGGACTCGCAGCAGCAGCAGGGACGCACGACGTCTCCTCCCGCAGGCAAAGTCGACCCCTCGCAAGGTTCGCTGCGCTGTCCCTGCTTGTCAGGGAACTGTGAGCAAGACTGAGGGCTTCTTCCGTGCTGTTTTATGTACTTATGATGGTTATCCAGAGCAGAACCAACAAAAAGTGTTGTCATGTGCATGGAGCAAATGAAAGATCATCAGCCATGCCCATTGTGGTTGTGATGTACCACACTACCAGTGTGGACCTTTGGTCTATTCATTTATTTATTAAGTTTGTTGAGCCAGCTACCTATGATTGGGCAAAACCTCGTCCGCTTTGCACCCAGGCAACTGGACAGCACAGACGAATCGTTACTGACCTAACATTAAAACTAACAATGGGTCAAGACGCCGAGGGTTTGATGATACATGGAGGTGGTAATAGGACTCATCAGTGCTTCCTAAAAACTTTATCAAATGAGATTGAAGTAAAACAATTTCTAGGTAATTTTTTTTTTCAGATAACTTTTACTGCTTTAGTAGAAAACTGGGTGTGATTTAGTAAAATCCCCCAATTTGTAACTGCTGTGTAGAGAGAGGACGAAGGGACGTGGGCCTGCAGCAGAGTGGTGACATTAACGAGGGGCCCCTTCCCGGGGCGAAGCACGGGCCCCCAGCGACGTCTAAATTCAGCCGCCCCCAAAGCACGGGGCCACAGACCGCTCCCTCTCATTGCGAGGAGCCTCCGGGCCCTGCTTCCAGGAACAGCAAGAAAGGTGGTGTGTGGCAAGCACAGGCTTGGGTTGAACACTTTGCTTCCATTGTTTCTTGATATCCAGTTGCGAACAGTTGGCGGTATTTCAAATAGTTTCTCTTTGTTTTGTTTCCCACTTGCCCGTATATGCAGGTAGCAGCATAGAAAAATCAGTGAAAGATCTCCAGAGGTGTGCAGTGTCGCTCTCCCGATACCAACTGCTGGTTCATGAGGAGATGGATGCCTCTGTCAAGAAGATTAAAAAGACGTTCTCAGAAATACAACAATGGTATAGTTTACTTACCCGAGCAAAGATTGTAACTTCAACTTCCATTTTTTGTGTTCAATGTAGAAAAATGTCTGATAATCCAATCTCTTTACATTTGTTTCAGCCTCATGGACAGGGAGGTAACAGTCCTCTCAGAACTGGACAAAGTAAAACGAGAAGCCAGTGAGTGAATCACAGTCTCCCCTGACGTAACAATTTACTTAACATGAACATTCATCCTCGCAGTCAGACTGGGAACGTGCGGTGTCAAATGAGGCTGACAGTGTGCTTGTCATGTTATTAAAGGCTTTAATAATATTCTATAAAACACTGCAGCACCCTTTTGTAAGATCTACCTCAGACGTGTAATATAGATGCTGTTCAATGAGGGTTTATTATATTCAAAATAATCTATGTAGTGCAAGTCTGCAGGCAAATTTCCTCAAAAATGTACCACCGCTCACATGTATGTGTGTTCATGATTTACAGTGACGTTTCTAGAAAACAGACAAAGGATGGCGTCAGAGCTGAAGAAGCAGTGCGACCTGTCGGCGAGGCTGTCCGAGGCGCAACTTGGCGAGCTCCGAGCCAATATAAAGGTTCGATGTTGGCACAACGGTCGTGCACATTACCCTGTTGTCAGAGCAGGCGTGTCCCACCAGAGCCGCTACTCCCCAGCAAAGCGCTGAACGTCGTCTCGGCACACACGCGTTCACAGCGGCATCGGGCGATGGCGAGGAGTTCAGTGTGGTGCCCGTGTAACGCTACCCTCTATTTTATTTCAGCTCTTTGTGAGTGAAAGGAAATACGACGAAGAGTTGGGGAGAACGGCACGATTCACCTGTGACCTGCCGACCATCGTACAAGCAATGGAAACCTTTGGTAAAAGTGAGTCTTGGTTAAAGGACGACGGCATGTATAAACACACTATACATCGGTTTTTTGAAATCCTTACCAAATTATAGTTAACCCTCGATTATCCCATGGGTGGATTATTTTAATTGATCCACAGTTTTCGTTCACACTCGAGATGGAATGGTTTAGAGGTACAGAAACCCGACGAGTGAGAAGGCAGAACCAGTGCCAAACATTTCCCAAACTTTGTTGTATTACATTGGGATGTTTCGTCAACTCCATAACTGAGTGTTTATACGTGGGATGTTATACGTTTTGCTTTACCCCGCATGATCAAGAGTTGACTGTATTGACAAGTGTCTTTGATAACGGCACTCTAACTCGCCTGGCTGTGGTGAACAGTTTCTCACCCGAGGACCGGTTGGAGGGACAATCCTCGCCATGGATCCGAGTCCTCAGCATCCAGCCACTCGGCTCAGTTTGGCTCCAGCGACGTTGGGGAATTCTCGGAGGACTCGAGGATTAAGCCCCCCGCTGTTCAACCCGTGCCAGCAGAAACAAGAGCAAGTACACCATACCAGGTGATAAAATCAGACTTGATGATTCTACCCTAGAACTTTGGTCTATATGTACAAGCAGCGGCTAATTTCAGCTGGGCCTGTTTGGGTCACTAGACAATAATATTCCTGCACCCGGTACACCACATCTGGTATACATCTCGCGATGGCGCGGCTATGAGTCACATACCTACTCCACTTTACCAGCAACCCGCTTAAAATTCAGTGTTAAATCAATTCCTACGTCGACTGTTATTTAAAATGTCACACGTGAATCTGTTGTTGCTCAGGCTTCTGGAGACAAAGTGAGGGACCGGCACCATTTTCAAGGGAAAACCATTTACAACTCCAACCAGCAATACAGGGGTGACTGGAAAGGGCATGACCACAACGGGCCACAAGGCGACCCAAGGTTCAGGCATGGAGCATTATACAGGCAGCATGGTCACCGGGGGCGGGGCAGGAGGGTACCTGACAGCAAGGAGCACCACCGTGCCCAGTCCTGCACCAGTGCCCAGTCCTGCACCAGTGCCAGCGAGCCACACGACAGGCCCTGCCCAGCAGCAGTCGGAGCGGCAGGAAACGAGGGATCGAGCCTGCTGCCGGTCGGCAGGCTCGGAGAGACGACGGATGGTGGTGGAGGTGGCGGTGATATCTGCGCCTCACGGCGTAAGCCTCTCTACCGGCACACTCGACGATGCCCCGCCGTGGACAGCGCCCATGCCCGCGAGGTCGCCTTAGACAGCCGCCTTCAGTGCAAGGATTGAGGCGCTCACAGCCACTTCCATGGAGCTCGCGTGAACACGGGCTGCTGCGAGTCGTGTCGGGAAGCCCTCTCAACTCCCAAAAAAATACAACCTGGACATGTGGCATGCCAGTGTTTGAACATTCTCCTGATTTGGATTCTAGAAAACACAACTGTAAAACGTTGTTGTGGTGGTGGTGGTAACTAATTGACATTTATTGTCAATGTTTTTATCTCAGGACCAGCTTTTGACTTCATTTTCTGCTAAAACAAATTCAGTGGCTTGGCAAAGTATTTCACTTTTGTTCAGTGAAAGCGGTACATTGCACTACCTTGTAGGATCATCATCAGAGCAAGTCTTGCACAAAAAAGGAAAATGTTAATATTTCCATAGCAAATATTACCCTTGAGGACTCATACCTTATTGTATGTTTTATTGTGTAATGCCAAAATTGTAAAAGAAAATTCAATCAAAAAGCACTACTTTTGCTGACAAGTGCCTTGCGGTGTGAAACTGTTCAATAGTTTACTGTTTTTGTTTTGTGTGTCACTGTAGAAGGAAATGCAGCAACTTCTTTTTTGTAAACGACTCTTAGTTGTACATTCATGAGAAATGCAACAATTGTGTCAAGATTCAACAAAATGCCCTTTGTACATTAGCTGCAATATGCACGTTTTCAATTTCGGTTCATTAGAAGTTAATGTTGCCAATTTCCTCCGAATATTGGTTTAACATCATCAGGAGCTGCAATTTCAAGTCAGTCGCTTGATCCGATAGGTCAGCTTGGTGTTGTAGAGTGCCATCGTTTACAGATATTCCATTTAATGAGCTGCAATTAAACTAACTCCTGGATATGTCCGAAACCAGCACTCCACCAAACCCAGTGTGGCCTGTTGTGCCATTTCAAGCAAATAATGACTGCTCTCTTTGGGAAATAAATAGTTGAAAAGTCTCCACGATAAACACTCGAGAGGCAGTGAGTAGGCACTGGCTTTAGGAAATGGAATAAAACCATATAACACCACAACAAGGGGATACCATGACCACATTTATTTAAGTTCAAATAACAAATGCGCCAAGTTTGATATTTTGGGTTTGCACCTTGTGTGTTTTTCTTCGAGAGAAAATAAAACTTCTGATGCTCTTCTCAGATATACTGCTCAGAGTTTCAACGGTACCAGTATCAATGTTTGCTTAATATTGTTTAATATTACAGGCAAATAAATGTTTATTTTAAGACTGTTCTTGAGAGCGTGTGAGAATGTGTACATTGTGCGGCGCGCGACTGCCTTCGTTATAGATTTCCGGCCATCCCACGCTCGACTTGCTGCCAGTTTCACTGTTGAGCCATTTTTGCTGTTTCTGCTCGGATCAGAGCTATGAGATCCTGATTGATCAAGAAGACAAAACGCAGTCCGCTGATCTGTAAAGACATAAGGTTCATATTTAAGGAGAGGAGTGAGAACATCTTAACAACATGCATTGAGAGGCTACAGGAGTTAATTATGTAAGAGATAATACGTATGAAGCCTCTTACTTCTACAACAGAATTGTTGTTGAGTTTCCACTTGGCCCCGGAGAGGACAGGTCTTCCGTCAATAAAAATTGGTCGCCTCCCCTCGTTTGCGATGAAAAAGTCCCCATTGCTCTTCAGTTTAATGGTGCCTTAAAAAAAAAGTACACGCATTGTAAAGATGTACATCTCAAAGTACACGACCACGAGTTAAAAAGCAAGCGTAATTTTGTGCAAACGCTTTGTGCCACGTCATTGTCAGCAGCGTAAACACGGCACCTTGTTTACGGGATATTTTCCAGGATGGGCCTTCCAAAGACAGGTCGACGTCAATCTGGTTGTCCTTTGTGGCCCTTCCCAGGGTAATCTGACCAGAACGACACAGGACACATATAACAGCACAGACGAAATTACACAGCATTGTGACATACGCTGCTTCATTGCAGCATATCTATGGCAAACAATCTCAATTATTTAATTTATAGGCACTTTGTCCATCCACTGCTGGATGAAGGCATCCCTGCATCACGTTGTTTGACCGTACGTCACGCTGGTCAGTACGTGTTTGTGAAGTGGTGTGGTGGTAGGAACAGTTCAGATATCACTCTTCACTCAAATGAGTAATGATTAGGGATCAAACTCAGGTCCCCGGCCTCTTTAGCAGAGTGTGCTCGCCGGGTGGTGGTGATGCACACCTGTACTCTCCCAACACTGGAGGTGAGGGTTGGTGGATTACACACAAATGTTGTTTAACTCCCTTCCAGTGGGCATCGAGGTGCCATATCCCGACTCGCCAAAAAGCAGTACAGTGAATGGACTAATCACTGTCCGTTTCCATCTGTATGTGGCCATTTGTGTGCGTGGGTTTTCTCTGGTGTTCTCCCGCTTGTATACACACTCAATAATTTGATGAAAAGATCTTAAAACAAAAACACAATGTGCGGGACCCCTCCTGAAATAGGATCCTGCGACTCGGTTTGAAATTACTCACTTCTCTGGAGCGCATGAGGTAACGGACCAGTCTCCCACGCAAGACGGCAAGAGTTTGGTTGTCGAACTCTGGTGGGCTCAAGCCTATAGAACAAACGACACATTTTTCAAGTTACACTTGGGAGTTTTTGACCATACTTCACCATGCTGTTCGCTGCTAGTGGGTGACAGCAGGTCGTGTACACGTGGGAGCATAGAAGTGCAGTAACCTGCTGCGCAAGGTGGTTGCCCAAAATCTATGCAGTCTGAATTCAGAGAACTGAAAAGCTCAGGTCCGTTGTGGGCGATTTTGTTATACAACAAAAACTAGAGTGTGCATTCTTAAATCATGACTTCAATTACCAAAACATTAACGGTACTAACTATATTTTTGTTGTGGTGTCCACTGAAAGCCATACATTATTTTTGAAAGCCGATTAATGTTGCAGTTCTCATGTATCCCCACAGCTTAATTTCTCACCGGTTATTTTCTGGGTGGGTTGGTTAAATTGACTTACATGACTAGTAGCAATATGCGGTGTGCCAGGTAGTAAAATATTTTACGGGAGGTTGGTAAATTGGAGGTGGCCCGTGACAAGTAGCCACAGTTATAGTGAGGAGTATACTGGATGTCGTGTAGCGGGTGTCAACATTTTTCCCAGATCCCCAATATGGACAGATCAAGCCGAATAAACCCCTGCGTGTGCCGTGTGGGGCAGGACCTGTCACGCTGTCCACCATCGCCTGCCACTTGGGCAGCTCCTGCTCCAGCTGCCGGATCTCACGCTTCTGTCTCCGATCGGCCACCGCCAGCTCTGTGGCGAGACGGTCGTCGGCGATGATTACTCCACTGCTGGACGGGGCGAAGGCCTCCTCAAGCCGTCACAATCTCGCACGGGTCTTGCGATACGTGGACTGCTCTCTGCTCGGCTATTACATTACACTGTTGTGTTTGTAACAATTCACAGCACTTGGTCGACTGATTGATGAAGGCCTCACATGGTGCTCGGTGATGGGGATTGTTTTGACCCTACTTCACCACGCCGGTCAGTGCGAGTGAGTGAAGGGGGCACTCGGAACCGGTTCAGATATCACTCGCCACCGATGTTGGCCGTGGCCAGGAAACTCACTCAGGTTACCAGGTTCAGGGTGCTAGGCTCTCCAAAACAGCGATGCACAGCTGAGCTGCAATGGACAAGCAATGAACACCACTTTCTGCACTGGGCTGCAGGTTTCTGTTTTGCACAAATTCGTGTTTAAAATGCAATTTACCGCTTCAACTTACCGTGTTCCAGTGTTTCATCTCTGACGTCTCTGTGAGAAAGCATAGACACAGGGTCGAATCATTCGCGAATTGGCTTTAAGACCTTTCATGAGTGCAATAAAATATGGTGACAACTGAAAACAGATGGCACCTGCTACAATCTATTGGCACCTCGACAGGAGACACAAGGCAAAGGTGTGACACCAGCAGTGCAATACATTTTACATAAGTGTGTAGGGAACTAGTCGACGACGACGACTCGGAGGTTAAGGGCGTTCGCTGTAAGTTTGTTAAAGAGATTACAAGTAACACGAGGGTAGACAACTCCCAGGGGCTAGGGGTCCTACACCGAGTCCTGGTCCCTGCCCGGCTCGCTCCGGTCTCTCTCCCTCGAGTCGGATCGGGGAATTTGCCAACACCCCCGACGGGGGAGAGCAGCACCTCCGATGGCTACCACCGGCTTCCTCCTTCCAGACTCACGACTTCGTCCCTCTACACCCTTCCACCCTTGCGCGTTCCCACAGTGACCCCGCTTTCGTCACGGGGTCTCCCTTAAATACTCTACGAGACATGACGTCATCGAGCCGCCCAGCGCGCATGACGTCACGTTCCGTGACGTCATCGCACTGGACGGCACACATGACGTCACGTCCCCATTTTACTCCTCTACAAGTGTACAAGGTAGTTTTTCTCACAAATTTCTGGATCGTAATTTAAGATGTTATGATTAGCAGCGAGGATTTTACTTTCTTACATTTAGTTTTTACGCAATAACAGAGGTGACTTACAAATGTACACAATTTAAAAAGATAGAAACTCGCAATGAAAAGTTTGTCCTGCACAGCTTTAGAGCTTGTTCTGGGATGTGGAAGTGCAGGCAATGCTCGTGCCAATGTAAGCCTCTCAGGGTTATATATATATGTGTGTGTGTATATAGAATGATTCAAACCTACCTGAGCTCACTGTCATCAATAGTATCCTCAGCATCAGAGAAGTTGAGGACCTGGTCTCCTTTGGGCAGCTGTTGAACTGAAAAAAGAGGAGAGAAGCACAACCAGTCCACTTTCATTACACTTCAAAAAAACAGAAATGGGGAAGAGAAGCAAGCGGCTGGTGGGACACGGACAGAAATAAACAAAAACTGCTGCTCCGTCGTCGACGTTCACATGCCAAACAGAATTGGACGGGGCTCTCCACAGGAGATACGGAAGATCGGTAGAAAGCCGACATGACGGGCGTCAAACCTCAGTACCACGACCGCCGTTCATCACTCACCGGTTTGATCCTCCAGCAGGTGGAACTGCTTCAAGAGCTGCCAGTGCATCTGCAGGGCCTTCGCCGTCCGGCACGGATGCCAAACGTGGGCGTTCTTGCCAAACACGTCCTGGAAAGTCTCCAGCGAGGGCTGGCTCGTCTGCAGGCCCACAAACAAGACCGCCGCACGCTTGGACCGCGGAGTCGCAAGGTCCGCCGATGACCGAGGCTGTGAATTTGGCACGGAGGTCACGTGGCGATCTTGGAAATCGCGATTGTGATTAAAGTGTTTAGCGATATCTTGGAAGTGGCTGTATAAACGCATCACATTGGGCGCTTCCTTTACTTTGTTTTCAAAACTGCCGCAGGTTGTACTTTGAAACAGTCGGCGTGCCGGCCGCGGGGAAGAGTCGCAAAAACATAGCACTTGCTTTACGTTACTTGCTTTGACGTGTTTTACTTTTAAGCAGATATTGTAAGCATTTTGTTTTAAGGAAAAAGCAAAAAAAATTCCAGAGGCAGTACCCCACCGGATTCTGAAAATTAATGCTTTGATCCCAAACCACAGTTGTAAACAATGACTTTCTTAATTACCACGCCAAAATGATAGCCTTACTCGTGACCTACCCGTGGAAATTAAGTTTGTTATCTCATTGGAGGGGTGCCATCTGCACTGATTGGTGAGCGTGGGTCACACGTACCGACGCGACCTTGGCGAGAATGCGCTCCTCGTCTTTGCTGAACAGCGCCCTGCTCTGCACGGCCACGATTGCATCCGGGTGCAGCTCACGCATGGATTGGCAAGCCAGCCTGGCACAACCGGCACCGCCCCGCAAACCACACGCACGCTCGTCACTTACTCACCGTACTGCCAAAAAACTCTTCCAAAAGACCTTTAGTGCGTCCCGTCCCGTTTTACATTTGTTCCGCCTGATCCTCCTCAGTTACCCAGTACATGTGTAATTTACAAATATGTATCCACTTGCGACGTTTTCCATTTCATTTATTCAAATGGAAAAATATTGGAAAACCCTTAATGAGTATGTTGATACTTGGCTTTTCCCAAGAAATTTAAATCACCGTTGTCATTTCCACTGCCCATAATTATAGGCAGAGTGGCGATATGATGAAGGCTTTTCAACTGGGTGCCACTGTCACACGACCCTGCACTCGCCCGGCTCGCTGCACACTTACTTGGACACGACCGGGTCGTAGAGGAGCGCATACCACCGCTCCTGCACCTCGCGCTGCGTGAAGCGGCAGCTGAACTTTACTCCCATGTGCACTGCTGCCAGGTCGTTTGTCTGCCATACGAGCACAGCACGCGCCGACAAACGTAAGCCACAAAACGTTTGTTTGCCCGGTCAACGCGAGCGCCGGCACTGCCCGCAAACTGATAGCGCCGTTAACTGGCAGTACCCAACCGCCTGCTCACGGTCCAACGCCCGGGTGATTGAGCCACCAGTAAAAAGCAAACGGAGCAAAATGTTGACCTGAATGCTTTCCTTAAATTCTGCAAACTCTACCGGTTTTCCCCAACGCAAAGCCTGCAAAGGAAACGTTTCGTACGCAAGTGGAATTTCGCCCATCACCTGCGGCAGAACGGCAGCAGTCGACAGCCCATGTGGTGGTGCCAACAAGTTACTGTGAAACCCCTTGAAGCAGACAGCACTTATTTCTGCACGACTTTACTGTATTCTTTATTACAGCAAAGTCATTTGGGAATAGTACAAAACAATGTTGAGATTTTTTTATAAGAAGGAATAAACAGAGCGATACCATGGTTAAACAATGCTACATTTGCAACAGCCGTAGTTTTGTGCACCCCTATGTGAGACAGTCAACTTGGTCAATGTAGGCACCATTACGATGGTGTACAAGGTAGAAGAGAAAACTCCCCGACATGACCCAGACCCAGCACGTCCGGGAGACAACGCTGTCAGAATTCACCAACAACAAAATATATTCCAAGGATTTGTTTTCAGTTGATACTGCTCGTGCAGTGCTGCGCCTTTCGCGACAATACGCCGCTGACAACCGCCGCTGACCAACGCTCAAAAACAACCACCGCGGAGACTCCACTAAGGATTGAGTTCTCAAGGTTCCTGTGCAACTGAAAGCAAATTGAGCCGATGGCAATCACCGGCTGTAACTATCACAAAAGCAAGCCAAGCAGAAAGGCAGTCCGGTTAATCAAGTGCATTATGAATGCTCTGGCTTCGCTGTCCTTCACCGCCGATGGCACTTGAGTGTTTCTTCCCAATTTTAACGTAAACGTCGCGTCCACGGCGAACCATCCCACACGTTCATTTCTCTCTGGGAGATGACGATGAGGGAAAGAGATGGGAGCGCCAGCTTGCTAGTTAAAATCCATTTCCTCTTTTTCCCTGAAGACCAGCCCGTCCGGCATCAGTTGCTGCATGGAGGCGAGCCGCACGTTGCTGCACTTCTTGTTGAGGGTTCTCAGCAGATCCGAGTTCATCTTCTTGCTGTCCCTGCAGCCCGGGAACCACTTTTCCACCTCGTCCAGGATGGCGTTCACCTTCACGGGGTCTAGCTGATTGTAGGGCTTGTAGACGCCCTTGGTGTAGGCGAGTCCGCCCTTCACGTTGGACGTGGCCATCTCCTCACGAGTGAACACCTTGTCGGCGAGCTTCCCCAGGAACTTGCGTGGGTCCGGCGCGCTCGAGAGGCACTGCTCCAGCGCGCACTTGGACACGGTGAGCGACGAGTCCGCGCCGCCGATGTACACGAGCGAGCCGCTGTAATTGGCCACGCGGAAGCCCACCTTGCTGGGCGAGCGCATGGGGAACGACATCTGGTACTCGGAAAGGTACGGCGACTTGGGCTGCCCGCCGCCGGCCATCGCGGCGGGCTCCAGCCCGCTGTAGATCTCCATTATCTGCGGCGTCCCCGACGTGGGCAGGAACTGCGGGGAGACGGGCGAAGGGGAGCCGCTGCTGTACGAGTGGTGGCCGCCGCCCTGCACGCCGGCGTGGCCCAGCTGCGAGTCGGGCGACACGTCGGCGAAGTGCGGCAGCCGGGTCGTCGCGGGCGCGGTAGCCGTCCGACAGAGGGCTGTGGCCGGGGATCACGAGCACCTCGCCGCTGCCCACGGACGCCGGGCGGCTGTGCGTCATCGCCTGCGCCTGCACGATCTGCCCGTTCTGATCGATGGTGTGCGGGCACTCTTGCAGGTTCTCGGACTTCACGCGGACGCCCAGGCCGCCGAGAGCTGGCCTCAGCGGCTCCTCGGCGTGGCAGTGCGAAGACGGGACGTCGGACCGGATCGGGCTGGTCGCCGAGTTGGTCTGGGGGAAGCCCATTTCGTCCGGGCCCATCGCCACCGCCGCTCCCGCGTGCTCCTCTTCGTTAGCCGCCGTCTCGAAGGAGGCCGCCCGACCGGGCGCGCCGGCGAGAGGCGCGTGCTGGCGAGGGTAAGCCGTCCTGGGCGGTACGTTTCGGCCGGAGGTGGAGTGCACGGCGGAGAGGTGGCACGCCGGGAACTGGCGTTCGACGTAGTTTCGCCGCTCGTTGTAGCCGTGCTTTTTCCGCTTCCTGGGGATGACGAAGGGCCACTGGTACGGGCGGTAGAGCGGCTCGGGGCCCCGCGTGCGCTTCTTCTTCAGCTTCTTCAGCTGCTTCTGCAGGGAGTTGATCTTGGTGATGAGACGTTCCTGCCGGAAGTGCATGACGTGCAGGATGCGCAGAATCTCGTTCCAACGAGCGGCCTCCATGTTCCGCTTCAGGCTGTGCGACTCCCCCTCTGGGCTCTGTGGCAACATCCGGGGGGCGGGAAGCACACACAGAGAAAATCAGAGTTTCAGTTTTCAAATGTGGGCATAGTTGAAGTGGTCCGTGACTCAAGCAGGAGTTATGGCCCATTGCCATGCTGACAGTTCACTTATGCTTTTACATTTACAAATCTATGCATAATAGGCTATTCACAGGCGATGGTGTGGGGGCACCAATTTATCTACGGAACATCAAATGCTTCATATCGTATGACACTACAAAGCACTACAGGCAATGAACGACTTTTTTGAACATGCAGAATTTATGCAGAAACATATGTGCAAACATTTCAAATTTGTGTTGTGGTTGGTAACTCGAGAACCTTGACAGCGTCGACGCGCCACGACACAAACGACCTCCAATTCAACGCACCTCTTCGGAGTCCGAGCTGGAGGAGTCGCCACTGTCGGACGCCGAGGAATTGCTATCGTCACTGACGCCGTCCACACGCGGCGGCCGCCCACAGTTCTCTTGCGCTTCGCTGTCATCCTCTTCTGAGCTGGAGGAGCTCTCCTCATCCGACTCGTAGTCGTAGTCCTGGGAGGAAGAGACACTGCCTATAACCATTACTTGCCTGTAGTAATGGCATCAGGCTGCTCCGAGGGGCGGCTTTGTTATGGCCGCTTTTCGCCGACGATTCTTCACCGGGTCGGACCCATGCGAGCCTCCGAGCCCACGTCACGGTTTGGCGATCGAGATCGATATCGCAGCGAAACCCGAGAAAACGTGCCGCCCTCCCGATAGGTGCCCCGGCAAGATGAGGCGCCGCGAGTATAACAGCGGGACCACGTGGTAAACGACCGAACCACACCAACACCACCATCACGAATATTTAGAGCAGTGCAGCGGCCGTACCCTGGGCTAGAGAGAGCATGCAAGCTGGAAAGACAGAACGGCGTCCCCACCTGCAGCACACCGTTGATGAGCAGCAGATCGTCCGAAGGTTTCCACCGGCCCAGATCCTTGGCCACCTGCACCAGCTGCTTCGACTTCTTGACACGTTTGGAGGACGAAGACTTGGACACCTGCACGGGGAGGTAGCAGAGGGGCCTTGAGCGGCAGCGGGGATCACACACGACCATCGTCCACTGCGGGGCAGGCCTTCGTTTAACGGGCAGTCTGTGTTCAATAGCCATTGACCAAAGCGCCTGGAATGCGTTCGATCTTGTCGAGACCCTCAGGAACCTAACAACCCCTGGAATTAACAGTCGCTTCACAGAAATGCGCTGGCGGCAGCGGGTATCACCTTCTTCTTCTCTGGGGCGAGCTGCTCCACGCTTGGCACCAGAGGTCGCCCCGGCTCCACGCCCACCGCGCCGCCAGGTGCCATCGGAGTTGGGGGCGCGCCCTTCATGCGGCTCGTCTTAGCCAGGCTGCTCTCCACCAGCTCGTCGTCGAACTTCTTACGCTTTATTGAACTGGACCAAAACAATCACGAGTGGATGAGAACACGGCGAAACATACGTCCGTTAATGCTTATAGCCGATCAGGGCACACCACCGGACATTCTGTCCGCAGCATCTCTTATCGATCTGCTGAGAATTCAGTTGGCGTTCAAACTAAATTCTACCAGTTTGACGTCTGTACGTGGCGCTCACCGAGAGGAGCTGCGGCGCTTGGGAATGAGGTTAAGTGGCTGCGAGGCTGGGCGCTTGGAGCTCTGGGGCTGAGCCAGGAGCTTGGCGGGTGTGTGGCTGGAACCCGATGGAACTGGGGCGGCAGCTGGGGTAAGCACGTGGCCTGAAGAGACAGGGTGGGGCGGCTCCAACAGAGGCATCGCGTGGTCTACGGAAAAACCAGACGACAGCACGGGTCATGGCACTGACCTGTTGTAAATTATTAATCATATTGGTCGTGAAAGTCTACGTAGAAAATTTACAATTAAGTGTTGATATTGAAAATATTAATAGGTCTGTTGTTGCGTGCAAAGTCAATGGTAGAGTACAGTATTAAATTACGTTTGTAAAGCAACATTTCTACGCTCTCATGATCCAGACTTTTCCCCCCCCAAGAGCAATGCGATGGTACAGTTTTACTCGGGGATTAATATCCCTCTGAATATTTGCCGGGATGCTGGCAGACCGGAGTTGGTGTCGCGTAACTTGTCACAGCCACAGCAAGAGGTACTGTAGATCAGACACCGACAGACCTGGCTGAAATTAATCCCTGGCTTTATTTCTAAAAGAAGATGTTGTTTAACGTGACCATCGTTTATCATTTAGAGCCAAGTCACAGCCCTTTGGCACTCGGCAAGAGTTGCATGCTGGTGTCTACAAGCTCCTGTTTCTGGTACCGGTGGTGGGATTGCCGGCAGGGAGGTCGGCGACAGGGGGAGGCTCCGGGACCGGTTGTTCGGCAGCCATATTGCCGACGGCCTGCAGCTCCCCCCCCACTGGCTCCATGCCGGGTGGTGTGGCTGGCTCCGACATGGCCTCTGTATGGTAGTCAGTGATCCAACCCGCAGCCCGCTGGTGACAAACCACGCCTGCTGGCCAAACACAGCGACAATGCGATGGTGAGACAGTCATTACTCAGACCTTTGTTTATAAAAGCATACTGTATTATATATTATCGGAGTCCTCTTGTTTCCTCCCAGAGAACTGTAGAAAATTGTTAGCATTGGCGCACCGTCTAGTAGCCTCAAGCTTGTATGTGGTTCCTCACCAATTGAGATGCAATTTATATGAATGATGTGATATTAAACCAATAATTAAGTATTTGTTTTGTTATATTTATGTTTAAAATTAAAAAAATCTAAAGAAACACAAATTAACCTGGGAGGGGTTACACGACAAAAGAATAAATGTGAAAGTTGCAGATTTTTGGATTCAAGCCATACTTGGCCTCGATTTCCATTTCACAGCCCTAAAAGTTCTGGAAACCTGAAAAACTGCTGTGGTCTGTTCGCTAATATATGTGGCTGATCATACTGCAATTAAGCTGGGTAATATAGCGTAAATTAAAACTCGCTGGGTTTAAATAATAAATATAAGGTGACGATTCAGGCAATTACACTCTTCTTAGATGCCATTCATGGCAATTGCTCGAAACGTTGCCTACTACATATTCTCCCTTTTATTACTGAGGTCTACGTTAAGTTATGTTACTTGTGCCGATGCACCAATGAAATGCAGTATTACCAAATGGTTTATTCAAGGCAGGTTCAACTGGGTGGAAATCTGGCAGATTTAGAATCATCATATAACAATACAATTTATAACGCTTATCTACTTCCACCATCTGCATCACAAAGCCTCAGCGACTATATAATTCCTCGTCACAGCCATCTCTGAGACATACCTAAGCGGCTGTGCTCTCGCTACGTTGTCCCTACCTGAAGGAGGCTTGTGTTGCGCCCGAAACGTCGTGATTTAATTTAGTTTTCATTTATTTTATTTTCGACTTTACCGAAAAAACCATAGAGTATGAATCCTTGCAGTCACGAAAGCTTCAAATCTAGCATTGTGTATATATTTTACGTGGAGACGGACACACCAAGGAGACATTGCCTGCTAATGTATTTCGACTTTTAAGAAGAAGTGGGGCTCTCAAATGTGGCAGTCAAGAGAATGTCTCCAGCCGACGTCTCAGGCGAGACACGAATGTTGGGAGACTTCACCGACACAAGATCCACAACCTCCTGAAGGCCGCTTGGGCGGAATATTGGTGCCCCCCCCCCACCCCCTCAACGACGAACAACCACAATGTTGTATCCATTCTGAACCTGATGGAAACATAAATGAGCTGGAAGAAATCTTTACACTTAAAATAAAACCGGGGAAATGGCGTAAGACGTCAAGTGGCGGGGATATCCCGAGTGGCGCCCTTTCACGATATTCACAACAGACTCATTCGCAAATGAGAGTAGCCCATCAAATAAACATTCGCTTGACTCGACATCTGAAAGGGCGACACACGCCACGACAACAACGATCTGTAATAAACAATAAAAATGATAAAATAAACGATCGGCTGGGAGCGCGGCCTACACAACAATGCCCGTGCCCAGAGCGCTTCGCGCACATTTGGGACGCTGCCTCCAATTCTAAAATCGTGACGATTTCATCAATACACACACAAACACCGAGACTTGATTCGCACAGCGGAGCACGAAGCGTGTAACATTAAAGGTGAGAATTGTTCACCAAGTGCGCCACGCGTTTCGTGTCCGAGACGAGACCGCACGCAGGCCCAGCCTCGAGGCCTGCTCGCTCCTCTCACGTCTAAAACAACAACAACAACAAACTCTAACACTTACCCGCGATCAGACGGCAGAAGCTACAGACATCGCCCCGTGTCCACACGCCCCGTGTTGCTAGCTCGGGACTTGCTGCGGTAGTTTTAAACGACAATAAAATTGTGCCCACGAAGGCCTCAGCCTCCGAGCCGGGCCCAGGCGCCGCGTTCAACGAAACTTTATTGACAGCCGCGCGATTCTCAGGCTTCTACACAACGCGATCCACTTACTACTAATTAGCAGAGGTGTGGACTCGAGTCATGTGACTTGGACTCGAGTCAGACTCGAGTCATGAATTTGATGACTTCAGACTCGACTTGGACTTGCATAACAATGACTTTGTCCCACCTCTGAGGTGTGGACTCGAGTCATGTGACTTGGACTCGAGTCAGACTCGAGTCATGAATTTGATGACTTCAGACTCGACTTGGACTTGCATAACAATGACTTTGTCCCACCTCTGCTAATTAGACTTCGTAATTAATGTTTTCTCCTACAACATCAGAGTGCAGCGCCACATTAAACACGCACTACAATCACGAGAGTTTAAAGCGATTTGAAGCATGTTTTATTTTGGGGGGGGGGCAGAGCTTTGTGACGTCATATTTGAGGGGGGGCTGACTTTTTGTGACGTCATATTTCAGGGGGGGTCAAAAATCCTCCCAAATCGCGTGACGTCATTTATGGACGGCCCCTTGAACCAAAGCTGCCGACAATGTTCACTGCCAGAACGCCGCGTGTCGCTGCGTCAACAAGATACCTGGGGCAGAGGTTATGGACAATATAACTTGAGCGTCTAATTCTATTGAGCGACTGACAGTGTTGAAACATCTGGAATAAATGTTGTCTAGAGCACGGATGCAATTTGCACTAAAATCCTGCACACACTGCCACACGATGTCTATACTCTTAGTTCTTTCGGTAAAGTCACGTAGGTCCGTATTTGTGTAATTGCTGCGACTTGGTGACCGGCCCCTCCACTGGACATCTGCAACCTCCTGACTGAGCGGGAGGCGACCCTGGCTGCGGTCACGCCGCACAGGGTCGCTGTGAGCATGAAGCCCCAGGCCCAGACCTCCCAGGAGCCCCCCCCCCCCCGAGACCCACAGACTCCCATAGAGACCCCCAGACTCACACAGAGACCCACAGACTCACACAGAGATCCACACTCACACAGAGACCCACAGACTCCCACAGAGACCCCCAGACTCACACAGAGACCTACATACTCCCATAGAGACCCACATACTCACACAGAGACCCACAGACTCACACAGAGATCCACAGACTCACACAGACACCTACATACTCCCATAGAGACCCACATACTCACACAGAGACCCACAGACTCACACAGAGATCCACACTCACACAGAGACCCACAGACTCCCACAGAGACCCACAGACTCACACAGAGACCCACAGACTCACACAGAGATCCACACTCACACAGAGACCCCCAGACTCACACAGAGACCTACATACTCCCATAGAGACCCACATACTCACACAGAGACCCACAGACTCACACAGAGATCCACAGACTCACACAGAGATCCACAGACTCACACAGAGACCCACAGACTCCCACAGAGATCCACAGACTCACATAGAGACCCACACTTTCCCAGAGATCTATAGGCTCATATAAAGCAGATTATTTGGTGGTGTTGCTGTTGGCAGTTGTGCACAAGCACAATTAACAACAAAACTCAAAACATTTGTCAATACTCGGTAACGTTTGGGGCTATGTACCTTCTTCCTAGCACACAACACGACGTGTTCATGTAGAGTAGTAGACCAAAATACGAACGTGCACGACTTCCCTTGCATGGCGGGGAATTGGTCACCAGTGTTTACATGCTCATGGCGTGAGGTTGGCGAGTGAGCCCGTGGATGGATGCACGACTCGTCTGGCGAGTCTCACGCGCTGCTGCTGCTGCTGAAGGATTGAAGCAGGCAGTGTTGTTGTCACGCTGTGGCCCACGGCTCGAGTTGGTGGACCGCAGTCGCAATGCGAGCTGATGGTTCATCGTCCATCTGGACAGGAGGCGGCGGCGGCGGCATGACCGCGCGATGCTCCGACGTAGATCCACACACAGCCCCGTTGTGTGTGTGGGGTCAATCTGCAGCGGAAGGTCCTTGTGTCAAGTGCTCGTGAGGCCGGCTGCCACTGTGCAGATCCACCGCGCAGATCCACCGCGAGGACTTCGAGAGCTCGCGCTCAACCCCACTGGGGGTTGCGGGATGCTGACAGCAGCCATTCTAATATTTACCATGAGGCTGCTTCTGTATCGATCTACCGCCAACCTCCACACGGACATGGAAACGCTGCTGATCAACTCCCCCCATACGAATAGAGAAAACCCAAGCCGCAGGGCCCACGCTGGACCCACGGGGTGGTCATAATGGCAATGTGATGTCGTTACCCCCCCCTCTCATCTCTTGTAGGCACCACGTGTCCGGACGACAGTTAACGAGCACCCCCCTGTAGCCATGTCCACACCTCCGTCCCGCTGGGGTTATCGCTGTGCCTCGCTCTGTGCCGGTGGCTGGGACCTGCAGAAATCAATCGGCCAATCGATACGCACGTTCAGTCTGTCTTCCCAATACGTCGACCCCACGTCGATGCTGAACCCTGAGGGCGAAGTAAAACGTGATGCCAGCAACAATGATACTTTACCGGCACGATTAGGAGCACGGACTTCAAGCCAGTGGCCCCCTCTCCTGCTCCGTGCCAAGAGAGCGCGAGATGTGAATGAAGGCCGAGCGGAGACGATGGCATGCGTGCTCTTTTATTGTGGAAACGTCCAAAAGATTAAAAGACGAGGACACCCACCACGGCGGAGCAACATCCACAAATCCGTGTGTTTGTGACAATATTTATATATATTTGGATACCTTTATAAGTTACAGGTGATTCCTATTTTTGGTTCTGTTGAAAAAATTACAAATGTTTATTAAAACATACGATTAATGCACATCGCTTTCAAATAAAAAATATTCTGCTCAACTGCAGAGGCGCCACTCTTGGCTTAGGCACAGGTCAAAGGTTAACACCAGGCCTGCTGAGATCCTGGCCTCGAAGCTTTGGGTGGCGGTCTTTCTTGCTTCCGAAGACCCGTATTGGTTCACCAAGCCAGCAGCACCGAGATTCTGGGCTGCTCTGTCCACAATGAATGGACTCTCTCTCTGTATCTGCATCAGAATACAATAATTCCCCCTGTAAACTGCAAACAAGCCAGGGGGTATGGGGTTGCCACTAGAAACACAAAAACGGGGAAATATCATGTAAAGGATACCTGCTGAGGAGGAAACCAGGTGTAAGTATAAATGCATTGTCGAGGGGTGCGTTATTAGACAAGCTACAACGGGGCTTTCAATATCCCAGGAAGACTTCTAGATTTCCCAAGACAGCAACAGCCGTCAAAAAAAGAAGACAATCCTGGGAAAATCCAATGCAGGTAGGACCCGTAAATGAGGATACAGCCTCTAAAGGCAGGGAAACACAAAGAGAGAGATGTCTCGCTGGGTCCAGTATGAATTATCTCCCAATTGTCCATAGAAAACCTTTGAAAATCCATTGCTATTCCACGAATAAAATCAGTTGTTTTGGAATGTAAAAAAAATATCTGCCCAGCCCAAAAATAACTGCCGAGCCCGTCCACATTTCCATGAGCACCAATCGTGAAGAAAGCACCTGCTCTGACGCACCAGCCTCTCTGCCTGGCACAACGCTAAACGTGAATGACTTTAGCTACCCTGCAACGAGACCTTGCCACGTTAATGAACGCAGATAAAAACACACAGCGTGCCACCTCCGCAAGCAATTTGTTCCTGTAAGCAGACTATTTTATATCATGGTTCGTGCAAATCGTCTGAGCATAAGAGGCACCGTTGCAGAGAATGCAAATGAAGTGTTTCTGGAATGAGCACGCAACGGATTAACCCGCACGTCCTCGCGCATTCGTACACATAAAACAAGCGGCACTCGAGAACATCAACGACCACGGCACGACTTATTAAAACATCGGAAGACATTTACGACAGTATTTTCTTGCATATTTTATCGAACATTAAACATTAAATAGCAATTAAATGACTTGCATGTACTCACGGAACGCTTGGCTAGTTTTTGCAACACTGTGAATTCGAGCATTAAGGAGTGGACGTATTATTAAGAGACGGAACGTGACGCAGGCACGCGGGAACCTGACAGCACGAGCGGCGTGGCCACGACGCCTCCCGGCGCATCTACCGTGCTCAAACGCGGCCGTTATATTTTCAATAAAAAACATTTGCGTTTTTCGAATGGCATGGAAATTGTAGACACCAGTGTCATTTCCCTTCGCTCCTGCCGTATACTTTGGCAAAAAGTTCCTGTGCAAAAAGAAAATATTTAATTCAAATTATGCTGGTGGTGAAAGGTAATGGTGCAGCCCTGCATTGCCCTGCTCATGTCATTGCAGGTGCAAGGCCCTTCACTCCAGAGGACTGGAGGGAGCTCCAATAAGTGGGTATTTGGCCTACTCTACCACACACTGGCCCAATAGCTTGGAAGAAGTGGGAGTATACACATCACACACAAACCTGCCGATCGACTCGGTGTGGTTGTACCCGTTTATACGGCTGAGTGGACAGAGGAAGGGGGATTTAACAAAGCCCGCTTTCAACTCGCAGCACCTGGAGATGTAACCAGCGCCCCCAGTGCGCTCACCACCACGTCACGGCAGCATCCATGCTGGTGGCACTGGACTCGATTATCCTGGCACTGACACCCAGGATGCAATGACCATTTTACATTGGCTTTGTTATGTCTGGGACTCCGCGTTCTTCGAGCCACAGCGCGCACAGAGCTCATAGGACGTCAGGCGACAACTCCAATCCGCCGTGACTCGTACGGGAATTCTGCAACCTGTGGCCGTGCACAAACGTGAGCGGGCTGCAGCGTTGTCTGCTTTGCTGAGAGCAAGGCCAAGAGCTCCAAGAGTAATACTATGGCTTGGCTACCGGGTAACTCCATGGCTACTTGTCATGCACCGCCTGTGTGCGATAGTGGTTCCTTCCCAAGGGCCATATGGACATTAAGTACAGGCTCAGAATGACCAGGCCCAAGTGGCCTCATTATTGATATCTCATCCTCACTTGGATTTACGTGGCATCTACATACCACCACGTTAAGAGACCTGTTTTTGTTCACCCGATGATTGCCTGCTTCTGTCTATTAAAAAACCCGAATGTTCAGAGAGGCTTGAGAAGCTGTCACATATAGGCAGAGGTGGGACAAAGTCATTGTTATGCAAGTCCAAGTCGAGTCTGAAGTCATCAAATTCATGACTCGAGTCTGACTCGAGTCCAAGTCACATGACTCGAGTCCACACCTCAGAGGTGGGACAAAGTCATTGTTATGCAAGTCCAAGTCGAGTCTGAAGTCATCAAATTCATGACTCGAGTCTGACTCGAGTCCAAGTCACATGACTCGAGTCCACACCTCTGCATATAGGTGTTACAACTGTACTCCTGTTAATATAAATATGATATGAGCTTGCCCTGGAAAAGCTCAATGGGTTTAAATAATTTTTCAGAAGTGTCTTGCTACGTTTTTGCAGTAATGGGCAACAATTACTTTCCAAATTAAATTAATTCGGTACATTTTGACAATGAAGCCGGCGCACGATGGCCGAGTCTTTTCGAATGACGTCACAGGATCTTTAACGTCCGCTGTGAAGCAGACGGCGCGTATCACACCGTGAATACGCTCCCATTGAGCCACCTCACCGCCCCAGCGCCGCTCACCTGGCCAGAGTAAAATCCAACCGACCAGATGACAGCGACGAGTTGGGGCGGATCTACAATGACTATGGGAGTGGCGATCCTTAAAGTGGCAGTCTCGAGTGGCGAAGGCTGTGCCCCCAAATAATCACCGTGCTCGATCATCGCACGACGTTACTTTGTGCGCTGGGCACAAGCAGAGCCAATCGCACCCTTCCCCACGGGCGGGGCATGGATCATCAACACAGCCTCACCTCGAGTCACTTTGCTCACAGGCTGCCACACGCGAGTGCCTCTCTCGCTTGCAACTCTCGCAGCAACCCCGCGTGCATCCCTGTGACCGACTGCGCCTGCCGTGCGGCTGGACGCTGCTTTGGAGTGGAACCCGTTAGAATTTACCATCGATTCACTCGAGGGCCTGAATTCCTCCAGATGATTTACAGCGTTCCTATAAACAGCCTAAGGGCAGCTGCCAATGAAAAACAATTACGTATATATTTTTTTCAAATTGCTTGCATACCTTCTTCAACAACAGCGAGTTTGTATTTTCTGTCCGCTTTTTTGTGCCCAGGCGTACATTCACATCACAAACTCCTTTGGCGCGTCCGGCGCGCTGCCCCCACACGTGCCATCCAGTTTGCACCGCTTGGAGCTCTGCCGCCCCGCCGGAACGTTCTCCTTGTCCTCCGGCTGGGGCACCCGGTGCCCCGCCGGCCTCGAGTCGATACCTCCCGACCCCAGTTGTTGTTGCAGATGCTGCTGCTGCTGTTGCGGCGGCGGCGGCGGTGGCGGCGGCGCTTGGTGTGGCGAGGAGTCCACGGGGTCCCGCTCTGCTGCTTCCGAGATCGGCTCTGGCACGGGCTCCCAGTCACGGAGCCACGGGTGGCGCAGGCAGTCCTCGGCGGTGGCGCGACACCTACAACCACAAATGCGTCGAAGGTGACGTAAAAGAACTCCGCAAATACCTCCATGCGTACGGCCCGCCGTCACTCCACTGCCGGGTCAGCGGCTGACCACGCCGCGTGGGTCGCGGGGGCTACTTGCCCATACTTCACCATGCTGGGAAGTCCGGGATGGTGAAAGCGGATCGCACGCACGTTGGTGCGTAGCACGTTGGTGTGTAGCACGGTACACACGGCGAATTTTGCCGCACCGCCCTCTGCCGACAATGTAGCCCCTGCAGCCTCCGACAGCACGAACGCACGGAGCGCAGCCGACACAGGGTGCGGAAACAGCGACGAGACGCAGCGCATGGGGGCCGCGCCGTAGTTCCTGTTGCTGTTTATCTCGTGCGGAATGAACGGAGCCACGCGTCCAGGCAAACGGTGCTCCCTTTCCTGCGTCTGCTACGGTTCACTAGGATTACGCTGCACAGCTCGGAAACTTCACCGAGTCGCAAGTCGTCTGCGGCGTCTCCGCGCACGTGGGAAAGAGGTCACGGTGACGGCCGCGGGAGGGCGGGGAGAGGCCTCACCGTGGATCCTTGAGCAGCAGGCTCTGGATGAAATGCCGGGCGCGGGGAGACTTCCCCTGGAAGGTCTCTTCATCGTAACTCACGGCCACCTGGGACACGTTCAGGAAGGTCTCCTGATTGTCCCCTCCCAGGAAGGGGGACTCGCCCGTCAGCATCACGTACGCCAGCACGCCCATGCTCCTGACAAGAGGGATGATAACAAGCCATCACTTGCTCGTGAAACAATAATGGTGGTGCGACTGGACGCCTGGTTGCGATCGGAAGTTCACATTTCCTGTTTGAAGTAAACTTAGCCCGTCATCCCTACGACCAGACAAAATGAGTCCCGCTTTGCAGGAAGTGAATAATGGTGGTCTTCAGGAGAGACTGGGCTCTACCATAGGAATGTGGAACTTAGACTACTGGCTGAAGACCACCAATGGATTTGAGCATTGTCTAATTTCAAATTAGGCAGGGAGAGAATTAAATTACGTCAAGTAATGTAATGGAGTACTTACTTTACATCGTACAGTTTGACTTGTTATTTGACTATGTTGTTAAAATTTGGTTTAATTCTGGAGTAACGCAGCAACGACAACTTACCACATATCTGTCGCGGTCGTTATGGGGTCATAGTTGAGAATTTCTGGGGCTGCCAAAGAGAAAAGCACAGCATTGTCCATCAATCGCTTGGTTCCTTTACTTGGAGAGAGTCAGAAGGTACACCGACACAACAACAAGTTCACGTGTCATGAACAATTCACAGTGGTGCTGTTGGGGCGGTGCGAGTGGTTATGCTGGAACAAGAGACGACGCTGGTGGTGATGCCGGGAATATCGGAGACGCTGTGGTGGAGCAGCCGGTGCTAGAACCCGGCGGTATCGACCGAGGGTAATTTTCAACGACGTTGACATCTCCTTGCACGGCCTCCACAGACGCCCGGCCCACTCTTCGTCCCACAGCGGCGGTCGGCGTCGTGAACCCCAAACAGCCGAGCATCTTCTACCGTCACGGACGGGGACCCTGTGGCTCGCCTAGTTCATCTCCTGGGTCGACTGGCCTCGACGCGGCCGAAGGTACGGGGGACGCACTCGCACGTAGACATGTATTGTCCAAAGACACGTACGCAATCGCCGGTGCCGGGTGACACGAGCGATCGCACCACGGCACACCACCGTCCTTCTCTCCACGTGACCAGACGCCGGCAGCGCCGCCGTGGTACGGCCGCTCGTGTCGCCCAGCGCCGGCCGGCAGCGGCGGCGGTGCCACCGGTGGAGACTCACCCACGTACTCGGGGGTCCCCATGATCTCCCGCAGCTCCGCCGCGCTGCTCACGCGCCGAGACAGTCCCAGGTCCACGATGCGGATGTCGCCCAGGGGTTCCGCGCTCGTCAGCAAGATGTTCTGCGGCTGAGAGGGGGGCACATGGGGCGGCGGAGGAGTAGGTCGGTGGGCGTGTGTAGATAGGGATGCGTGTGCAGATGTGGGTAAGGTGTAAAAAGGTGTGGGTAGGTTGCAGACATTTGCAGATCGGTGTTAGCCGGTGTGGGTAGGTTTGGACTGGTGTGGACAGCTGCGGATCGATACGGACACGTAGATAGACATAAACACAGGTGTGGACAGACACAGACACAGGTGTGGATAGACACAGGTGTGGGTGAGGCACCTTGAGGTCAAGGTGCACCACGTTGTGGCGGTGCAGGAAGGCGATGCCGTCCAGCACCTGGCGCATGAGCCGCACCACGTCACTCTCCGTGAAGGCGCCGTCGCCCTCCTCCGCCACGCACTGCTGGAAGATCTCCCCACCTGCCGCGCTGCACCACACAGAGACAAAAGTTCCCCCCCCCCCGTATAGCCTTAACAGACTGTTGGGGCAAGTGCTGTTAGCGAGCGCCGAAGAAGGCCCGAACGGAACGCGAGGGGGTGGGTGGCCAGCACCAGCGCCCAGCCGCCTTTGTCTCCCTAGTGGCGAGGTTTACATGCCACACAAGGTACTCATTTGAGGCCGAATCGACCTAGGGGAGGCCTAAGACCGATTTAGATAATCGTCGTGCTGACTGTGAGCGGGCATCGAACCCGGGTCGTCAGGTTCGTCGCGCAGCGTGCTAACTGGTGCACTACCGCAACGCAGCACCACACACACACATACACACCAAGGGTTAGCCATGAACCTTCCACTGCTGGATGAAGGCCTCTCCGAGCCGTCGGGTACGTTAGGATTGGTACGGGGTGACAGGCCAGGCTGGTCGCGAGAGGTCTTTCTTCGAACGCAGAGCCGGGGTCCTAGATTCATTATGATTTAGTGTCATTATCATTTAATTATGATTTTCATAACTTCCTAAGCATTCCAATTTTGAATTCGTGAATGTTTTATGTACCTTGCAGGTACTGTGCAGGAATTTAACCAATGAAATAAAAAATTTTTGTTAATTTTAATATATATAAATACAGAAACGGTGTTAAATGTATATCCATGTAATTATATGCGTGTAATATATGGCTACATTTGTTCCATTGGTATACTTTCACGAATATCAGAAAGGGAGTTGAGGGGTGGCGGAAGCTGCAGCGAGGCGGAGGGAGTGAGCGCGCAGCTCACGCGGACCGCCTGGTGCATCACTCGGTTCGGACAGCCCCACAAAGGACGCGTTAAAAAACAAGAATTCGACCGTCAGCACCGCCGGCCCAACACCCTGGTGGAGATCCCTCCGCTCCGCCGTGCTCATCAATCACGCGTCGCTCGTCTGTAAGCACCGGGCCGGACCTCGGGGAATTCCGTCCGCACGCCGACCCCAATAATCAATCGACATTTTTCCAGGAGGAATTTTCTCCCATGGAAACGGCGCCGCCACAGCGGCCGGCGGTCGATGCGGCATTCTAAATCGGGCCCGGCGCTCGCCGGGCCTGCGAGCGAGAGGAGATGCTGCGAGACCCGGGCGGCGCTCGTGCGGCAATCATCGTCACCGAGCGGTGCAGGGACGGAGCGCCCGTAAGCGTCCGCCGAGCGGCCGCCCTCCCGGCCGTGATTACGGTGATGATGGCACCACGGCGTGGCCTTTCCGCCAGCCGTAAATTAAGCCAAGGCAGGACATTCCAACGCCGTCCAAAAGCTTTATTTAAAATACGAATCCTAGAGGGTGAATGCGTTTCACTGCCTGGTGCAGCCCAAATTCTCACACCAGGTCCGACACAATCTCAGTGTGCCGTCGGTTGCAACGGGATCCCATAATTCCTATCGAGTGCCGTTGCCAATAAGATCTGGTGATCCAGCAACATTTGTCTTACCCAGGTCGTCCAAACCGCTCGAGAGTTTACTTGCCAAAACAAATGCTTCTTGATGATATTGGTCTAGAAAGCCAATGGCTGACGGACAACTCTCATCGATTTATCATTAGTATTGTTGTTATTATTGTAAGTGGAGACACTGAACAGTCTGGCAGCCCAACTTGCCTTCACCGCAAACACTCACAGGCAGCACAACCGGAAAACAGCTCCTCCACGAAAGTACAGATTGTCATTGTTAAGTTCATTACATTTGTTTCAGTTGTTTCTGTTGCCTCAGCGGTGTAGTCGCTAATTTGGTTATTGCTACAATGGGGGCCGTGCTGACGTTTGGTTTGCGAAGGGCGTCCCCGTGGCGCGCCCAACTAAGAGGGCGCCTCGTCCTCTGCGGAGAACGCAGACTAATTAGTATTCTTCACGCGTGTCCCGCACACGGCACGAGACCCGTGGAGATGCGAGCCTCGCTGCAGCTGGGGGCATCTCCTCTACGCGTCAAGGGCAGCGCCAGACACAGACTACGTCCCTTCAGCAGCTGTGGGATCTGGCGGAAGGGGGCAGAAAACGCCGGCGAGGCGTGGTGGTGCCGACGGCCGTGGCCCATGACGACACCTCGATCTTGTCAGACACGCCGGGGGGCCGATACTCTCGTGAACACCCGGCTAGGTGGTTAGAGCAACGGACTTGCAATCGGAAGAGCCACGCCACCGATTCTATATTTACATTTTTCCCTGTAGGGCAGTGTTGTTCACGAATGTTTTTGTTTGTCATACTTTGTGGGAACATTGGTTGCCCTATGGAGAGACTGAACTGGACCCAACGACGGGAATGCGAAATTTGCATGACGAGTTCAGTGTTTATATCACAGCAGAGAACCTCTCCGCGCTCGATTGAGCAGGGAGACAATTTGGCTTTGGTGTATTCACTGAAAAGAGGCGCGCCGAGTCTCCATAGCGGATATTTGGCCAAATCCTGCCGCACGACACGTGGGCAGGTGGCGGGGTGAGCGTGGCACGCGTGCAGCCACATCGGCCTCCAGCACTGCACACGGCGCTCGTGCCCAGGGCTGGCCCGAGACAGCTTCACAAACCAATTTCCGCCAGCATTGTGGATCAAGACTAGCAATGGAACCACGGCGACCAGGATTATCGGCAGTCAGCTCACCAACCAGTGTACTACCACGCGACCAGTGCTCTCGGTGTCACTCCGCTGCTGGATTAGAGCCTCCCCACACTGCACTGACCACCACGCTGGTCAGTACGGAGGTTGGGGCATAGAAGTGCAGCACAACAATGTATTTTGCTTCAATGCCCTCTGCTGCCGACAGAGTAGCCCCACAGCGGCCTATGACAACATTGCGTGATGGTTGCCCAAGCACAATTACATTTTAACTAAGTTTATGTTTTTAAATGTATATAAAGAGAAACTGTGCACTATCTTGAGAGATCATTCCGAGTCAATTGGTGACAGGGTCCACTCTGTGCGTCGTTGCATACACACACATTCATACTCAGCACACTCACACATAACGTTTGGATTTCAGACTTTGGTTAAATGTTCTCATATCAGCTGAGCGTGCGCACTGCGAACGGAAAGTGGGAAGCCGCTAGTTTCGCTGCAGCCGCGATGTTTCTCCACCGCCACACGCCCCGGCGTAGAGTCGGCCGTTTCCCAACGCGGGGCCACACGTGACGATGGAGATAAGAGCGACCCGTAGGAAACAACAAATAATTAAATAAACAATAATTATTTGCAAAATAAGTCCCCAGCGGTGCACTGTGCGTCCAGGACACAATCACCAAGAGAAATTAAGACAGATTTCATCAGATTTAGGAAGCTAAGCAGTGTTGATCGGGGACAACGGCCGAATGGGCGACCGCCAAGCACATCTCGGTTGTGATAGGTGCCTGTGGTCATGTGCTTCTTCGTGAGCAGCGGAGGGCAATCCAGCAAAGTCCAATGTGTTTATAGACGTGGCTATTGCCAATCTACACGTTAGTCATGTTCAGTGTAAAAACTTCACGTTAATGAATTATCAGAATCTGCGTCTTGATCCAAACTCGTTCAGTCACCCTCGTAACCCTCGCCACTCACCCTCGCCACTCACCACTCACCCTCACCCTCACCCTCGTCACCCACCCTCGTCACCCATCCTCACCACTCACCCTCGCCACCCTCACCACTCACCCTCACCCTCGCCACCCTTGCCACTCACCCTCACCACTAACCCTCGCCACCCTTGCCACTCACCCTCACCACCCTTGCCACTCACCCTCGCCACCCTTGCCACTCACCCTCACCACTCACCCTCGCCACCCTTGCCACTCACCCTCACCCTCAACACCCTCGCCGGTCACCCTCGTCAGTCACCCTCGTCAGTCACCCTCGCTTTGGTCTTTGGTGGGTCGTTGTAGATATCATCACCACCATCACCACCATCATCATCATCACCATCATCACCACCATCACCACCATCATCACCATCACCATCATCACCATCATCACCACCATCATCACCATCATCACGCTGGATGATTGTCATCCACTTGTCGTAGTTTTTGTTGGTGTGTTGGTGATTTTTTCCCCGCTGCTTTCGTTATTGATATTAACTCGGGGGTTGGGGGGGAATGCGTGCAGGGGCCGTACGGGGAGGGGGGCCGTGCGAGGGGGGGCATGCGGGGGGGGGCTGTGCGGGGGGGTCCATGTGGGGGGCCGTGGTGCGTTGCCTACTACTCGAGCACGATGACGATGTCGGCGGGCGTCTCGTAGACGTCGTGCAGGCGGATGATGTGGGGGCTGTCGAGCGCCATCTCCAGCACGGCCACCTCGTGCACGCCCTCTGCCCGGCAGTCCTGCCCCTTGCGGCGTTTGCGCACGAACTTGGCAGCGAACTGGCGCCCCGTCGCCAGCTCCACGCACATGCGGACCACCGCAAACTTCCCCCTGCACCGCAGCCGGTGGAAACGAATGACGCACACGTTACGTTTCTCAACATCCTTCACCACCGCCGTCACCGCCATCGTCGGCGGTGGCAAACACCGCCTTGTATAAGCAACACTGTGCCGTGTGGCATAAAAAACGCTATCTGCATTTTGAAGGCATTTAAATCCAACTGAAGGGCGTCAGTGATGCATTTGGGTAATGACTCTGCTTTTCTCGACTATAAAGAAGGGGCACAGCTCATGAAGTTCATCATCATCGCTGTGTGAAGACCTTTACAAACCGTCTCCTTCTCCGATGCTGCCCACAAAGTTATCCATTTAGATAATCAGACAGCTCACTGGGTTTTATATATACACTAACATCCCACGTTATGAAGCAGCATTTGTTTATGACGATGGTGGTAAACGTGTGTTCCTACGACACTGCTGACACAGTCACTAAAATATTACGTACATTCCTGTAAGCCATAAACACAGAAGCCTCAAGACGCCTCTCAGCAGTCAGGATTCTGCAAGGAGTTACAATTCAGGACAAAACTCTGGAGGAGGGAATGACATACAAGTCGTGGAGATATCTCAAGCACCGTGCCAAGTTGATGGAGGCTTCACAGTGCCCAGACGACCAGCGACACGACCTCATGCTGCTGAAGCACTGTTCTCCCACACCCCAAAACAGCGTCCATCTCAGCCTCTTTCCCAGGCCCCTGCCTAAATTATCCGTGGCAGCCCCACCTACATACATCACTTATTATTCCTGCGAGTCCAAGCCACGCCGAGTTTTCCCACGCCACCCCAGCGGTTCGCAGAGCCGAGCCGAGCGTGGCGGAGGCGCAGGAAGCGGCTCGTGTGGCAACCGCGAGTCTCAGAGGGAGGACTATTTCAGGGATGTTGAGTAACAACGACAACAACGACGACGAGCCTTGCCAACGCAGATGCGCACACCGACACCGAGCTCAGGATAAGCACGCTTGCAACTCCTAAACACACCATGGCGTGGCTTACAACTATTTATTAATTAACCAGGGCATGGAAAGTTTAAAAAGGAAGAACGATAATAAAAAAAGAATCCCTCTGCGGTTATGACTCAATCTGGCGCACATCCTTGGCACTTGCAGTAATCACGTGCCCGTGTTAGTTGTAAGTGCCAGAGACGTGCGCACGCATTCCGAATGCCCAGGCCTGAGAAAAGTCTCGCGTAACCTCGCAACAAACAGCACACCGATATGACGCCTCGGACTTGTGTCTGCTCCCTACCTCGAGTGCAATCAACATTTGTTCGACATTCCGTGCCATTGTCCACGTTTATGATCCACTGATTATAGGGGATAATTTGTAACAATTAAAGATGATTTTCCTGAAGCACATTGGGATGCTTCTTTTCCTGAATTAATCCAGTTTTCCAAAAGCACTCCATCCTGTTCCATAAATAAATAATATTGCGTGACATTCAAATATAGAAACTTGAAGGAACTTGCTCCAGAAACTTGTAGGAATGACCTGGAGCATCTCAGCTGAGGGGAGAAACACAGATAATGTTTTTGTCTTGAGTTTAATATTATTACGCAAGTGACTAAAACCGCAGGGACATTTAAAGACTCCGAGAAGACTCATAGGATGCTCAGGACGGCCACAACCCTAAAAAGTGTGCACCGACACGAGGAGAGGTGGTGAGAGCAGCACCCACCTGCCGAGCTCCCGGCCGGTGAGGGAGTACGCCGAAGAGAAGGGCTCCGTGCGAATGGGCGTGCGCATCTCCGGCACCAGCCCCGAGCTGGGCGCATCACGACGAGCGAGCATGGCTCCCGGGAGAGCGAGCGGGCGAGCGGGCGAGGGAGCCTGGCTGGTCAAGGTGTCTCGGGGGGAGAGAGCAGGCGAGCGGGCGAGGGAGCCTGGCTGATCAAGGTGTCTTGGGGGGAGAGAGCAGGCGAGCGGGCGAGGGAGCCTGGCTGGTCAAGGTGTCTCGGGGCGAGCGAGCGATGAAGCCTGGCTGATGAAGGTGTCTCGGGGCGAGCGAGCGGGCGAGGGAGCCTGGCTGGTCAAGGTGTCTCGGGGGGAGAGAGCAGGCGAGCGGGCGAGGGAGCCTGGCTGATCAAGGTGTCTTGGGGGGAGAGAGCAGGCGAGCGGGCGAGGGAGCCTGGCTGGTCAAGGTGTCTCGGGGCGAGCGAGCGATGAAGCCTGGCTGATGAAGGTGTCTCGGGGCGAGCGAGCGGGCGAGGGAGCCTGGCTGGTCAAGGTGTCTTGGGGAGAGAGAGCAGGCGAGCGAGCGAGGGAGCCTGGCTGGTCAAGGTGTCTCGCCGTTCAACGCCGTCGCCGTTGCGGCCGTCCCGTGCCAACGGCCCCTTGATGCCGGTGGGTCGACGCGACCGTTCGCTCTGACAAAGAACAAAACGTCAAATCGTTATCAGGAATATCCGACTCCTCCTTGAGACTTTCATTTCAGGAGGATCCCGGATTCACACGCAAGTGTATAACACTGAATGAGTGGATCAATTCATCAAATTCGATTAAACCAGGTGATGGTCAGGAGAGCTGGAATCATTAAAAACACACAGTGGTAAGAGACATAAAAAAAACACATTAATTATGTCAACGACAAAACTGTGGACACACACACATCCTATTGGAGAACTTTACGGGCGAAGTCAGATTTGCGGTATAAGACACTTTGGACAACGCGCCACTGACTGGTGACGATGATGACAGTTCTGTATACAGTAGTGTCCTTATAAAGACTGAATGTACAGTACACTATAAAGACAAAGATCCCCCGTGTAGCCTCAACAGACTGTTGGGGCAAGCGCTGTCCACGAGTAGCACCGACGAAGGCCGGGACGGCACACCAGAGGGTGGGTGGCCAGTAACCCAGCCCGGCCGCCTTTGTCTCCCTTGTGGCGATGTTTACACACCGCACGAGGTACCAATTTAAAGCCGAGTGGACCTAGGGGAGGCCCATTGAATAATTCAGAAAGTCGTCACTGGTCCTGGCCGTGAGAGGCAATCGAACATTACAGCACATCACAGCACACACAGCACAAACACCACACACGCACACACCACGCACACACACACCACAACACACACACACAGCACACGCACACCACAGCACACACACACAGCACACACCAGCACACACACCAGCACACACACACGCCAGTGGAATAAACAATCACCACGATGTCCATTCGTCTCGCATCTAACACCGTGGAGTTCACCGCGTGGTGAACTTCTGGCCAAGTCACCCATCCCTGACCCAGCAGTGGACTGACACTTCAAGGGCTGCAGATTATAAACACGGGGGGGGGGGGTCGCAGTGGTTAATCCGCTCCGCTATGAACCCGACCGGACCCGAGTTCGATTCACGGCCACCGTCAGTGGCGAGTGCTGAGCTCACCACGAACACGCCCCCCCCCCCTTCCTTCCCAACCCGCGTGGTGAAGTATGGTCAACCAACCACCATGTCGCACGAGGCCACTCATCCAGCAGTGGATATCGACATTAGAATGTTGTCATGGTCGCGCTGCGAGCCGCCACGTGCGCTGCCGTGCAGTGCATCGTACTGTACTACAGTACACGTGACAACCCCGTAGCAATACAGTCCGTGTGGTACTGTACCGCGTGATACTGTAGCGTGTGGTACTGTAGTGCACAGTCCATGTGTTACTGTAGCGCGTGGTACTGTACCGCGTGATACTGTAGCGCGTGGTACTGTAGCGCGTGGTACTGTAGTGCACAGTCCGTGTGGTACTGTAGCGTGTGGTACTGTAGCGTGTGGTACTGTAGCGTGTGATACTGTAGCGCGTGGTACTGTAGCGTGTGGTACTGTAGTGCACAGTCCGCGTGGTACTGTATTGCGTAGTACTGTAGCGTGTGGTACTGTAGCGTGTGGTACTGTAGCGTGTGGTACTGTAGCGTGTGGTACTGTAGCGTGTGGTACTGTAGCGTGTGGTACTGTAGCGCGTGGTACTGTAGTGCACGTGGACGACACTGCAGCTGCTGACCTGCTGCTCGCAGGGGTCGGGCGTCCACGGGGTGGAGGCTGCCACGGTCCAGAAGCCTCCCACGGGTCGACTCCCACTGGGAGACTCCGCACGGAGAGACCGCCACGGACTCTGCACGGGCGGAGAGAGAAGTCCACGGAGAGAGACGAAGTCCACGGCTCGGAGTGTGTCGCAGGGAGACTGCCACGAGCAGCGCACACGGCTCGAGCTGCGCCACAGTCCGTCTCGTCACCGCCCCGCGCCGTAGCAGTCAACGCCACGGGCGCACAGCTGCCGCAGGGAGCGAGCGGGCGGGCGACAAAGAGGAGCGGCGGCGGCCGCGGAGCCGCGCGGCTTCAAACCCCGCGGCGGCGCCCAATGGCGCGAGGCCGCGGGGCCCACGAGCCGCGCTGATTGGCGGAGCCGCGAGCTAGGGGGGGGGCTAGTCCAGCCCCCCCCCCCCCCCCCCCGTGACGCCCCCACACCACCAGCAGCACTCACCCACTCCCTCACTCATTCACTCACTCATTCATTCACTCACTCCCTCACTCACTCCATCACCCATTCACTCACTCCCTCACTCACCCACTCCCTCACTCATTCACTCACTCATTCACTCACTCACTCCCTCACTCACTCCATCACCCATTCACTCACTCCCTCACTCACCCACTCCCTCACTCATTCACTCACTCATTCACTCACCCACTCATTCATTCACTCACTCCCTCACTCACTCCATCACCCATTCACTCACTCCCTCACTCACCCACTCCCTCACTCATTCACTCACTCATTCATTCACCCACTCATTCACCTACTCCCTCACTCATTCACTTACTCACTCATTCACTCACTCACTCACTCACTCACTCCCTCATTCACTCACTCATTCATTCACCCACGCTCTCACTCATTCAATCCCTCACTAATTCACTCCCTCTCTCACCCATTCACTCCCTCACCCATTCACTCCCTCACCCATTCACTCCCTCACCCATTCACTCCCTCACCCATTCACTCCCTCACCCATTCACTCCCTCGCCCATTCACTCCCTCGCCCATTCACTCCCTCGCCCATTCACTCCCTCACCCATTCACTCCCTCACCCATTCACTCCCTCACTCATTCACTCCCTCACCCATTCACTCCCTCACCCATTCACTCCCTCACTAATTCACTCCCTCTCTCACCCGTTCACTCCCTCACCCGTTCACTCCCTCACCCATTCACTCCCTCACCCATTCACTCCCTCACCCATTCACTCCCTCTCTCACCCGTTCACTCCCTCACCCATTCACTCCCTCACCCATTCACTCCCTCACCTATTCACTCACTCACCCATTCACTCCCTCACTCATTCACTCCCTCACCCATTCACTCCCTCACCAATTCACTCCCTCACCCATTCACTCCCTCTCTCACCCGTTCACTCCCTCACCCATTCACTCCCTCACCAATTCACTCCCTCACCCATTCACTCCCTCTCTCACCCATTCACTCCCTCACCCATTCACTCCCTCACCCATTCACCTCCCTCACCCATTCACTCCCTCACCCATTCACTCCCTCACCCATTCACTCCCTCTCTCACCCATTCACTCCCTCGCCCATTCACTCCCTCGCCCATTCACTCCCTCACCCATTCACTCCCTCTCTCACCCATTCACTCCCTCACCCATTCACTCCCTCACCCATTCACTCCCTCACTAATTCACTCCCTCTCTCACCCATTCACTCCCTCACCCATTCACTCCCTCACCCATTCACTCCCTCTCTCACCCATTCACTCCCTCTCTCACCCATTCACTCCCTCACCCATTCACTCCCTCACTAATTCACTCCCTCTCTCACCATTCACTCCCTCCCCATTCACTCCCTCGCCCATTCACTCCCTCGCCCATTCACTCCCAGCCCATTCACTCCCTCGCCCATTCACTCCCTCGCCCCATTCACTCCCTCGCCCATTCACTCCCCTCACCCATTCACTCCCCTCACCCATTCACTCCCTCACCCATTCACTCCCTTCTCTCAACCCGTTCACTGCCTCACCCATTCACTCCCTCATCCAGTCACTCCCCTCACCCATTCACTCCCTCACCCATTCACTCCCTCACCATTCACTCCCTCGCCCATTCACTCCCTCACCCATTCACTCCCTCCCCCATTCACTCCCTCACCCATTCACTCCCTCACCCATTCACTCCCTCACTAATTCACTCCCTCCCTCACCCATTCACTCCCTCTCTCACCCGTTCATCCCTCACCCATTTCACTGCCTCACCCATTCACTCCCATCACCTATTCACTCACTCACCCTTCACTCCCTCACCATTCACTCCCTCACCCATTCACTCCCTCACCAATTCACTCCCTCACCCATTCACTCCCTCTCTCACCCGTTCACTCCCTCACCCATTCACTCCCTCACCCATTCACTCCCTCACCAATTCACTCCCTCACCCATTCACTCCCTCTCTCACCCGTTCACTCCCTCACCCATTCACTCCCTCACCCATTCACTCCCTCTCTCACCAATTCACTCCCTCACCCATTCACTCCCTCACCCATTCACTCCCTCACTAATTCGCTCCCTCTCTCACCCGTTCACTCCCTCACCCATTCACTCCCTCACCTATTCACTCCCTCACCCATTCACTCCCTCACCAATTCACTCCCTCACCCATTCACTCCCTCACCCATTCACTCCCTCACTAATTCACTCCCTCTCTCACCCGTTCACTCCCTCACCCGTTCACTCCCTCACCCATTCACTCCCTCACCCATTCACTCCCTCACCCATTCACTCCCTCACCAATTCACTCCCTCACCCATTCACTCCCTCACCCATTCACTCCCTCACCAATTCACTCCCTCACCCATTCACTCCCTCATCCATTCACTCCCTCACCTATTCACTCCCTCACCCATTCACTCCCTCACCCATTCACTCCCTCATCCATTCACTCCCTCACCCATTCACTCCCTCGCCCATTCACTCCCTCACCAATTCACTCCCTCACCCATTCACTCCCTCACCCATTCACTCCCTCGCCCATTCACTCCCTCGCCCATTCACTCCCTCACCCATTCACTCCCTCACCCATTCACTCCCTCACCCATTCACTCCCTCACCCATTCACTCTCTCACCCATTCACTCCCTCACCCATTCACTCCCTCACCCATTCACTCCCTCACCCATTCATTCACTCCCTTACCCATTCACTCCCTCACCCATTCATTCACTCACTCACCCATTCACTCCCTCACCCATTCACTCCCTCACCTATTCACTCACTCACCCATTCACTCCCTCGCCCATTCACTCACTCACCCATTCACTCACCCACCCCGTTACCCGCTACCCGTTACACCGCACGACGTCTCGCCCGCCACCAAAGATGCCCCGTGTAGCCTTCACAGGCTGTTGGGGCAAGTGCTGTTAGCGAGCAGCACCTGTGCAGGCCGGCACGGCACAACCAACCACGCCCGGCCGCCTTTGGCTTCCGATAATCGTCACTGGTGGTGGCCGTTTGCGGGAATTGAACTTGGGTCGCTGGGTTCGTTAACCGCTGGGCCACCGCTCCCCATATCGCCATCATCACCTTCATGATCATCACCCATCCACCACCATCACCATCAACCACCATCACCATCACCTCCATCATCATCACCCATCAACCATCACCATCATCACCATCACCTCCATCATCATCACCCATCAACCATCACCACCTTCATGCTCATCACCCATCAACCACCATCATCATCATCACCTCCATCATCATCACCCATCAACCACCACCACTATCACCTCCATGATCATCACCCATCAACCACCACCATCACCTCCATCATCATCACCCATCAACCATCACCATCATCACCATCACCTCCATCATCATCACCCATCAACCATCATCACCTTCATGCTCATCACCCATCAACCACCATCATCATCAGCATGCAACGCGCGGTGGCGCTCATTTCGTTTCACAGCCCAGAGCCAGTGACGGTACAACTCCACATTCCCACGGCAGGGGCAGTCTAGTTCTACACAGGATGTTGCTCATCAAGACAAGTGTTGCAGTGTACTCTCTCTTGTTTGCTGCTGCTGCCCATGGGAGGATGGTGCAAGGCTGTTGCCCTCCGAACAGGTGCTTGCCTCCAGGTCATATCATCGTCCTTATCCACATTCTCCGGATTATAAGACGCACCTCTCCCGCTGTATTTTCAAGCAAAAATTGCGGGTGCGTCTTATAATCCGGTGTGTGTGTGGCCATCTCTGTATAACTTTATTGACAGCGATCACAAGTTTGGGGTGCGTCTTACTTCCCGAAGCGACCTGTAATCCGCTCGACGTCGCTGTATTTGCCTGCGGCAGTTTTGCCCGAATATATCTTCCCATGAATCAACTCTGCTTTTTGTATTTAATCGACTTCATTGCGAACAAGTTTAACACGCCACTAGGCAGAGGTGACGGCTCCGATCACGCCTGAATTCTCAAAGCCCAATTGGGATTGAGCGTTGCAAGAGGCACCGTGTGGTACAAAGCCTCGATTTATCCAAACCGAAGTTTCAAAAACCACATTCATTCAAAAATATGTGGCCATTAAACCACTCACGCTGCACCTCCGCGTCAGGGACTGTCTCACGAGTTACTCGAGGCTGCTGCCAACAGCTGTCCAGACCGCATTATTACACACGCCAGTAGATGGAGGCGGAGTGCCGTTGAATAAAATCCGGCAAAACACGAATAACGAAGTTAAAAGTGGTATGCGGCTGCCCTCTGCTGAAAGCCACCGCTGTGGCAGAGCTACACATTATTAGCGTGGTTGGGGAGGGGGTCACGTACGGTGCAAGAGTTCAATATTCACTACGTACGTAAAAGTCGTTACAGGATTGGGAACATCTGCTGTGTCAGCCGTCATTTTCGGCCATGGTCCACTGCTGAATGAAGGCCTCGTTGTGCGTGGTAGACTTTACGAGAACTCTGATACTCTGGTAAATCGAACAATACAAAAGTAGTTGGAAATACATCTCAATTGTTCATGGGACATTTATTTTGCCAGTATCAAAAAAGATATCCCATGATGTCGCTGCTCACCCCGAGCGATACGTTCTCTGATACGTGAGGCATTGCCTTTGTGCTGTTCGCCTTTTGGCGTTCTCTGGTCTGATACTGGGAGCGAGACGAGGGCATAAGGGAGGCTGTCTCTGGTGCAGGCCAATCAGTTTCAAAGACAAAGCGTGTATCAGAGGATGTTTGTTTTCATTTTCACCACAAGTACGTCTGGTTAATGCAGACTTCATTCCTTGTTTGAACATCGTAACCACCTGGTTTATTTCCAAAAAGGGT